TAAAAAGAAGTCCAAGGGAGTCAAATCGCACGATCTTGGTGGCCATGGCACATTTCCTCTGCGCGAAATCACGCGATCACCGAAGAAGGACTGCAATCGATGGATATTGACGTTGGTTGTGTGGCATGTTGCACCGTCTTGTTGGAAATAAACATCGTCCATATCCATTCCTTCAAGTTGCGGCAAAAAATAGTCCTCTATCATCACGTGATATCGCTCAGAATTGACGGTAACGGCGTCCCCGGCCGCATTTTCCAAAAAGTAAGGTCCGATGATGCCTTTTGACCACAATGCACACCACACAGTCACTTTTTGAGGATGCATCGGCTGCTCTTGATACTCACGGGGATTTTCGTTCGCCCAGATGCGGCAGTTTTGCTTGTTTACCGTCCAATTCAAAGAGAAATGCGCTTCGTCGCTGAACATGATTTTTGATGAAAAATTGGCATCAATTTGGCGGTGTTCAAGGAGCCAATCTGAGAACGTTCGGCGCGAAAAATGGTCGGCCCCACGCAGCTCTTGTAGGCGTGTACATTCAAATCCTTGTGGAGAATGCGGAGCAAACTGGTTCTCGAAATGCCCAATTCTTGGGATCGACGCGTTGTTGATTGTTTCGGATCGTCTCTCACACTCTCCTTCACAACAGCAATATTTACCGGTGTGCGAACGCTCCTTGGCCGGCCAGAGCCTGGCAGATTTGCCACAGAACCTGTTGCCTCGAATTTACGCACCAGACGACCGATGGTTGTTTCGTTTGGACGGTTGTTGCGACCGAAATGTTCACGAAGCGCGCGAAACGTGTTTTTTATTTTTGCACCATTTTTGTAGTGCTCTTGAGTAACTTTAACGCGGTCTTCAATCGAAACGACTCCATAGCGATCAATGGTAAACATTCAACTAACAAAATGACATGCCGGTGACAGAAAACAAAGATGGCGGCTATGTCAAATTGACGTTTACTTTCCTGCGTCCCTATTGGACAACCATTTATTTAGCATTATGATAAATAAATCTTCAACAAAGAAACAAACAATGTCGACTCATAGATTTGTATCATTACTTACCATTACTTTGCAACATTATGAATCATCGCTGAAACAAACGTGATTATCAGCACATTTGTTAGATTCTCCAATTTTTTCGAGTCAATTTATAATAAATTTACGTACAGTTGCGTTTTAGAGGATTTTCACTAACTAGGACGCATCTGGTATTTTAAAAAGTATGTATATGATTGGCAGTCGAACTCTAGGCATGATAATGCAATGAAACCAATGGAACCAACATAGAAAAATCACTGAATATTAAGTAAACATATTCTTATTGTTTGGATAGTGATATGACAAAAAAACATTTACAAAAAAAGTACGGCTCGAAATGCCTTCAACATTTTATCAGCGTATATTTCCATGATAGCAAATATGTGTACAAGTTTTTATCAAAATTCAATAAATAATCCGGATTTCCTTAAAACTAATAATTTAGATTTCTCGAAATAGAGTCAATGTAGTTTAAGTACTTTGTGTTGCTTGCAAAATAATGAATGATTTTCAGCAGGCTCCCCATCAAACATCCATGTTGAGTGGTACAAATAGGGTGACTAAAAAGAGTGGCAATATTTCTAAAGCATAACTTACGCTTAAAATGGGTTCCAAAATCCCACACGGTTCAATGAACATATTAGTAATACAGTTTACGTCCGACCGACCACAGACAGTCAACCATTGATGGTTGTTTCGTGCTTTTTAGCTCTCATCAGCATGGTCTAGGCTCTACAGGGTGTGACAGCATAACTTCTTTCATTCAAAACTTAAAAACTTTCTGATCCATGGCTTTTATTATTTGTTTTTGTAATCTAGTAACATGCCTGAAGTTTTGTTTTACATAATTTTGTAAACTGATTTCTGGCGTTCGTCATGACTCTTGCCAGCATATCACGCAATTTCTTCCTAGATGTTGGTATACAAATCTCAAGGGGCCAAATCAGGAGAGCGAGCCGGCTACTAATTGAGATGAGGCGCTCTGGGAGGTGAACCCTCAAAACAGCCACCGATGCTCTTGAAGTGGATGCCGTTGCAGTGGCTTGTTGGGACCAAATGTCCCCTAGGTCCAACACATCTGACCATGGAAAAAGAATCCTATTTGCATAGTGTCACTGCGACTTTATTTTCCTCAAAGAACCAGGGATCGTTAATTCCAGCTGAAGAAATTGCACACTGTGCCTTTAGGTGAATGCAAAGGTCTTTGATGCAATACTCGAGAATTGGTGAGGGCCCAGTAGCGCATCTTTTCTTTGTTGATGGATCCATTCAAATAAAAATGGGCTTCGTCACTAAAAAAAACAATAGCGTCCTCAGGAACGACTTCGAGAATCAAGTCACATTCAGAAAGTTCTGCACGATTGTCATCTTGTAATACAGGATGTTTCAGTTTATTGTTGCATAACTTTAAGATTCGATAGAACTTTTAAAATGAATGCATAAAGTCTATATAAACATCGGTCGAAAAATGCGTGGTTTCCGAAATACATGGTGTTTAAATTTACTTTCTAAAATAGTTTTTTTTTAAATATTTCGAACAATATTTGATGTATAACAGTGAAAATTGGTATACAAGGGTTTTTTGGTACGACAAATCGAACCATGGGCATAGTTTTACTGTAGCCGCTAGAGGGCGCTCTCTACTGTACCTGTAGTGTATTAAAATGACCGAAACATTTTTCTTAGTGCAATTTTTTGCTTTTTGAATAAAAAAACTGATTCTTCGCACTTTTCAACATAAAAAAGCTCTCTTGTGAACTTTCGTTATAGTTAGCCGTTTTTGAGATATTTCGATTTTTAAGGTTCGATGCATTTTTAATTATTTATGATACAATAAAGTTAAAAAGTCAGTATCTCGATAATTTTTAGAAGTAGGCTGTGCCTGCAAATATTTTTGAAATTGAAAGCAGAATTAGGTTAAACGTCAATTAGTTGACAGTTAGTTTTGTTGACTGTTGAAACCTGAAACGTTTTTTTGCAATTGTGAATGCACGAAATTTAGTTTCTTTTACCTGTTTTTTTTGTAAGTTATATAAAAATGCCATTTTTATTCTCCAATCAAGAGTTAGCGGATATTCATTTTGTGTATGGCTTTGTAAATGGAAGATTTCCAAACAGACGACATCCAACTCGCTCAGTATTTGTAAGAGTGCATCGCCAAATAATTGAAAATGGTTTTGGATATCTCCAAAGGGATCAAAACATAAATGTTCGTCAGCGTAGATTTACCCGTATGATTCTGCGTGAGTTTGATAGAGATCCGACCACAAGTGTTAGGAGAGTTTCTGGTGCCTTGGGAATTTCAGCAAGCCATGTTCACCGTATTATTAGAAACGACCATAGACGTCCTTACCATTTGCAACCTGCGCAAGGACTACAGCCAGGGGACGGAGAATGAAGAATCACATTTTGTCAGTGGATTCTTGATAGAACTGATAATAATAGGGAGTTTTTAAGTAACGTTTTATGGACCGATGGGTCATGCTTCACTAGACGTGGAGTGGTAAATTTTCATAATCAACATATTTGGTCGCATGAAAATCCGCATGCAGTTCGGGAAAGAAATTTTCAGCATGAATTTGGTGTGAACGTGTGGATTGGTAATCGACTATTTGGACCCTACCTTTTGCCTGCAAGGTTAAATGCTGCGACCTTGGAATTTTTAAAGGCTGGACATGGAAATATGTGGGATGATGTTATGTTAGATTTAAGAAGATTGGCCTGGTTCCAGCTTGATGGTTGTCCAGCTCATTATTCGAGAATAGTTAGAAACTGGCTGGACGAAAATTATCCAGAAAGATGGATCGGCCGTGGAGGACCAGTCGCCTGGCCTCCACGATCCCCTGACCTAAATCCATTAGATTTCGTTGTGTGGGGATTTCTAAAAGAAAAAGTGCACCAGACTCCCGTAACCACAAGAGATATGCTAATAGACAGAATCAGGAATGCATGTGATGAAATAAGGCCTTATTTGAATAATGCTATACCACGTTCGATCATTCGTAGATGTGAATTGTGTATTGAACAATTGGGTTTACATTTCGAGCAACTACTTTAGATTTTGTATGTTTGTCCTAACTATCCAATAGCATTTTAGCATAATTAATTTAATTTGTTAAAAATAATATTGGAAAATTAAACAAATTAATATTCTGTTTTTTATGTTTATTTGGAGTCAGGAATTATTGGTGTGTTTAAAAACACAATCTAAATGATCATCTTAATTACTTGTAATGCCCAAATCGAAAATGTAAAAAAAAATATTATTTTCACATAAATAATTAAAAATCGAAATATCTCAAAAACGGCTAACTATAACGAAAACTCACAGGAGAGCTTTTTTATGTTGAAAAGTGCGAAGAATCAGTTTTTTTATTCAAAAAGCAAAAAATTGTACTAAGAAAAAATTTTCGTTCATTTTAATACACTACAGGTACAGTAGAGAGCGCCCTCTAGCGGCTACAGTAAAACTATGCCCATGGTTCGTTTTGTCGTACCAAAAAACCCTTGTATACCAATTTTCACTGTTATACATCAAATATTGTTCGAAATATTTAAAAAAAACTATTTTAGAAAGTAAATTTAAACACCCTGTATTTCGGAAGCCACGCATTTTTCGACCCATGTTTCTAGAGACTTTATGCATTAATTTTAAAAGTTCTATCGAATCTTAAAGTTATGCAACAATAAACTGAAACACCCTGTATAAGGAAATTATGCTGCCGCACCCTGTGCTATAACACCAGAAACGGCGGCATCTCTCGGCCACAATGTCAACATTGCTAGCTGACAATGCGAACTGGGATACAGTTCCACATATTTGCACTCTCGCAGTGCATTCGGGTACTTTTATTGGAACTAGTTGTGCTTTAAATATTGCCATCGAAATCACTAAGTATCCATAGTGCGTTTCTGTGCATAACAGTCTCATATATCTTACCTTTTTCCATGTGTATATAGGCGAGGGGCCATTTGATAGCGGACCTGGATCCGCTAGGCATAATGACCCAAAACGAAGGTTTCTGTAAGACAGGATCCCCCTCGAGCATCATTACGCGTCAGCATAAGCTAGGTACGACCCCTCAAAAAGCTTGAAACATTCATACTGAGAATCGTACAGTTTGAAACACCATTGTATCTGTTTGCTTGAACATACTAAAGTGTGGGGTCACGTACTTGTATATAATCTCGTTTTCGTATCATCGGACATAGGAAATAGACACGACAAAATTGTAAATTTCGTAGAAAATCTTGTATTGCAGTGCTTTTCAAAAACACTGTATGACGGTGTACTATGCAGTTTTTTCTAAAATATTTATTTTGTCTAATTTCTATGATCTGTCACGTAACTTGTTTTATGCCTGTCATTTGTTCGTTTGCAATCTGAAGTCGCGGCAATAGAGATCAATATTAATAATTGTTTATCGAAAACTACCAGAGAGAGTCAACACTTGAAACGAACAAATTGTATGGCTGAATTCGCTTGTCCTGTCTAACCATATTTCATTCTTCGTTTGGTTTCTGGCGAGTGTGCGATGTTACAAATAGATGATGTACTTACCTGAATCTGATGACTAATCATCTTCAATATGCATGAAGACATGTGCAACTGGGGTGATTAATGCAGCTTATGTATAAACCAATACGATCCAGGAAAATTAAAAGAAGTTATATACAGGGTGGACCAATGAAAAGGTCGCACACCCATTCGTGAATCTCGTGGTATATTTTGGGGGGCACCTTTTCATCTGTAGCCGTACAATACAGGGCGATCCGAAAATGAGATATCGCGATTTTTAAATTTTTATTTTTTGAGTTTTGAGTAACTTTTGTATAATAAAGTTTATACCTATCTATGAAGCTATTTTTGTTTATAATTAAGCTTGATTAACTTAATACTGATGATGATGGAATGCATGGCAAAAAATAATAATCATGGATACCGACGAGAATATTTACCATCAGTAAGTGTCATCGTATGTCATAGAAAAACTTTGTCTTTTATTTCAAATTCTTAAGTTGTGATAAATATTGAACAGTGGCTTACTCAATTCAAGAAAGGGTATAAACAACAAAACTGAACTGAACTTCATGAAGTCTACTCGGAGTATGTTAAATAAAAAGTATTCAGAATTTCTCGCGGAATAAAAAAATATCGAATAAAATGTATAGCATTCCATAAGAAAATCAAAAGTTGCTATGGGGCCGTTCAAGTATTACGTAAGCAGATTTATTATAATTATTTACCCCCCCCCCCCATCCCCCTTGTCAGCAAAAGTAAGCAAAGCTCTTACCCCTTCCCCCATGCTTACGGAAACATTTGTCAATTAATGTATTGTTTTTTTTTTTAATATAATTATAACGTTGCGAATTGTTCGTCTTCTATCATTGCTGCACTCCCAAATAAAGCTATATCCGCGATTGTTTTCAATAGTGAATCTTGATTGCTTTCAAGATTAGGATCTCCCACTGAATCCCTCAGAGATAGTTTTTTTTTATTTCTGGATATTCATGACAAATATCTTCTAATTTTCTTTTCATACCATCCCTGTGTTTCTTCTGGGCAACTGCGTTTTGAACCTTCCTGTTTAAAGACCGTTTTGTTGTTTTTATTTCCTCGCGCAACTTAATGATCTGTTTATCAACTTCAGCACGGCTTGGCATAGTATCTCTGACAATACAAAGCATTCATTTCTTTCGAGTAGAGCAATCTTATTTTTTATAGCTTCTTGAAAAGGTTTTGCTCTCTGTTTATCTGTATTTTCATTAATTTCGCATTGCTGTTGTGATTCATTACCGAGTTTTATTTTATCTTCTTCCTCTTTTTTAATATTTGAAGCTGACTGTATAATTTGTGTTTTTTCTGCAGGTTTACATGTTGCCCAAAAATAAAAACTTTCTATGGCTTCTGCTAAAGCTTATCTTATTAAGCTACATAAATACAAAGTATAGCAATATATATATGGTAAATACAAAACCCTACGGCTTTAAATCTAATATGTTTAAACGAGCAATTCGTTCCGGTCACAAAATACAGAGTGTTAGTTTTTTGTATATATGTATAAAACTAACATCTTGTACTTTGTGAGAAATTGACGAAATCAATCATAAGAAATAAATCTATAATATAATGAATATTACCTCTATACTTTGAGATAGGCCATAATATTTTATAACCAGTAAAGAGAAACTTTTTGGCGATTTCTAATATTTCTAGTACTCATAGGGACCTAAAATGATTTCGTCACTCACCTTAGAAAAAAAATTTAGTGGATTGGATTTATTCTTAGTCGCCCCTTGCAATTCTTCTTCGATTCTCTTAGATACTGCCCAAGGGCAAAAAATGAAAGAAACCTTGAATACAAATATTTCACTGACAACTCAAAATTAATATTTAACGCACAAACGGAATCGTGGGACGAAATTTTTTTAACAAATTCTTTAGACGAAGCTACAAATTTATTAATACACAAAATTCAAAAAGTAATTGAAGTTAGTACTAATAAGGTTAAAATAAGTCACAAGGAAAAAAGCAGAAATGATTGGATGACCAAAGGACTAATAAAATCTGCTAACGAAAAAGAAAGACTGTATAAAATCATGAAATATTTACCCACGAAAGAAAATATAGATCATTATAATCAGTATAAAAACAAATTTATAGAACTTTTGAGAAAAGCAAAAAAAAATTACTATATAAAACAATTGAATAATAATTCACATGACTCTAGACACCTATGGTCCACTGTCAATGATATATTCAATAAGTCATCCTATTCAAAAACAATATTAATGAAATAAAAACAAAAACAGGACAGAAAACAGACAATATTCAGCAAATATGTGATGAGTTCATAGAATTTTTCACGAATATAGGAGGAAACTTAGCAAATAATATCAAACAAAATGCTGATATTCATCTGCATGAAACAAGACTGAATAATTCATTTGTATTAACTGAAGTAGACTATCAGGATGTTTTCAATGCCATTATGACTCTAAAAAATAAAAAAGCCCTGGAGTTGACGAAATTAGAGCTGAACATCTAAAGATACTGGCCAAACAAATAACAGAACCACTTGCTTATATCATTAACAAATCCTTCCAATCTGGAGTATTTCCATCAGCTTTCAAGACAGCAATCATCATACCTATCTATAAATCTAATGATAATACGGACGTCACTAACTATCGACCTATTTCACTTATATCAAGCTTAGCTAAAGTTTTTGAGAAATTACTCCTTAATAAAATGATTAATTTTCTTAATAAATTCAAAATTCTAAATTCAAATCAATATGGTTTTATAGCGGGCAAATCTACAACAGATGGGGTATTAAGTATAGTAGATGAAATAACCCAAAATATAGATGGAAAAGTACCATCGATATGCGTATTTGTGGACTTACAAAAAGCGTTTGACACAGTTAACCACAATATACTTTTGGAAATCTTAGAAAGAATAGGTTTTCGTGGAAAGATGTATACTTTAATGGAAAATTATTTATCAAATAGACCGCAATCAGTAAAATTATTAAGCTCGTATAGTAAAGAAATGTTTGTTAAATGTGGTGTTCCACAAGGTACAATTTTGGTTCCTCTGTTATTCAATATTTATTTAAACGATATATTCAAAATTAACAGTACTGGTAAAATAGTCAGTTTTGCAGACGATACTGCTATACTCTATAAAGGTAAGGATTGGAACGACTTAAAAGATATTATCCAAAATGACTTTTGCAAAATTATTCAGTGGTTTAATAACCGAAAATTAACAATTAACTTTACTAAAACTCATTTTTTACCATTTTCATCACTATCTAATCATCTATCAAAATATAACCACCTTCGGTTTAAGGTAAATGATAAAAATATAAAAATCAATAGAATTAATGATACAAAATATTTAGGAATTTATCTAGATCCCCACTTGAGATGGGATGTACATATTTCTCACATACTAAAGAAAATTAGATTCATAGCATATAAAATAAAATTTCTAACCGATATATTAACTGAATATTATCTACGAATAATATATCAAGCTTTAGTCGAACCACACATAACATATGGTATAGTAGTGTGGGGTGCTCAATGCACGACATACTTTAACGATTTAGATGTACTTCAAAGAAGAATTTTAAAATCGATGTTAGGCAAATCAAAATTATACCCAACTAATGACTTATATAATGATGCACAAGTATATGATACTAAACAACTTTACTTCTTACATACCATCACTCATTATCACAAAACTATTAGTGAACACGACATAATTAAATATAATCATAAAACCAGATATAAATTACGCGCAAAAAATGTTCCTAAACCAAACAAATCCCTAATGAAACGATGTCACCTGTATATAGCTCCAAAATTGTACGAACATTTACCAAATAATTTAAAACAATTACGCAATACATTAGGCTTCAAAAAAAATTAAAACAATTTATTAACACGATTGGGAGAAATCAAATTAATAAAATAATCTCAAATATTACACAATAAATACTCTACCATTCTTACCAATAATTTCTTTTTTCTCTCTATTTTATTATATTTTGCAATTCAACATACATATGATCCATGCACAGGCGTTGTCCTCCTATGGATATATTATATTTATTTACTCGTTTCATGTTCCCTGTATTTTAGAGTAAATAAATACTAAATATTATTATTTTATAAAATATTATCTAGTTCCTTGTCGGATTTTGCTTGTAATTTCGTCACACTTCGTTAACTAACTTTTGTACATTTTGTACTTTCGTACTTGTATGAGATTTTTTAAAACGTTCAAACAATTTTTTGTATAACTTCGATTTGTCTATGAGAAACGACATCTTATTTAAACAATTAAACTTTGGCTAATGGAATCAATGGTAACACAAATGTTAACTTGCTTCACTATGCTTACAATACGTCTACTCGCTATAGTATCCAAACGAAACAATACACTGATAGATGAAATTTAGACAAGTGAACACCGCGCGGTAATTCCCCTACTCGGTTCTAAAGCGAGTAGGGGAATGACCGCGCGCTCTTGCCTAACGTATGCATTATTTGCGGGAATCCCCGAAAATGCGTTTCGTTTTCAAGCAAAGACAATCTACCGATGACGTAATCATCATCTAGACTCCCCTACCCCCCATGTCATCCAAAATAAGCAAAGCAGACCCCCCCCGCCCCCCATAGTGCTCACGTAATACTTGAACGGCCCCCTAGTTGTGATAAACATTGAAAAGTGTCTTACTCAATTCAAGAAATGGTATAAATAACAAAACTGAACTGAACTTCATGAGGTCTACTTGAAGTATGTTTAATAGAAAGTATTCAGAATTTCTCACAGAATAAAAAAATAACGAATAACATGCATTCCATAAGAAAATCAAAAGTTGCTATCAGTTTCTGAAAAACTTGGCAACGTCGCGGATATCATCAGCGGAACCTAAACCCACCAATTCTTAAAAAAAAAATAGATGAGTCAATCGTCCGATATCCGATGAGTTCCAAACTTTTGTTATAAACTGTATGTGTCTATACACACTTCCCTCGGGTCGTAGTGTTTACGATTTGAATTAAGTGTTTTTATAATTTTTCTGGATCGTACTGAACTTTATAATCCTTGTATTATGGTGATGGTCCGAAACGCCTACGTAAGCGGTCGTAGTCGAGTAGTTCGAGGTGTTGGAAATGTTGATCTTGTAGATTCGTGGCCACCACATTGCACGCTTGGACCCGTTGGGCATCAACAGCGCGGATCTGGATGACCAAACGCCGCAAGAGTTAGTCTACAAAAACTACAATTTTGGTAAGACTCGCACCGGCCATCGGGAACACACGTACGATGTATAGTTTGCCTGATAATAATTCGCTGTAAATGTAAGATCATTTCGGACTCTTCACAATGGTTCACGATTAGATCTGACATAGCGTGTACCGTTAATACTTGGTGCCCCAACGAAAATCTTTTATCAAAGGAAAAGTTCCCAAAGAAAGTTATTTGAAATTTACGGGAAAAAGTTCATTTTGCGTTTTGAGATGCCCGGTATTAATAGAAAGATAGATCAGCTCAAAATCGATCATAATAAAATATACTAAGTGACATATAAATCCGAACACCCAGTTTAAATGGTGTTATTTTAATAAAATTTTTTATAAGTACTTAATGAAGCATAATAAGTAAATGATATAAATTTCAAAATGACCTTTAATAATGTGTGGATGCACCCTGATGTGCTACGGATTCTCCAAAGCGCCTAGGCATGCTTCTGATCAGGTGGTCAATGTCCTCCTGTGGTATCTCATTCCAGACAACCACCAACTCCTCTCGAAGTGCTTCTAGAGTCTGAGGAGGACGTTGCAAATTGAGCAATCTCCTACCCATCATATCCCACACGTGCTCAATTGGGGATAAGTCGGGAGATCTTGGTGGCCATGGTAACAATGTGACATCATTATGTTGAAAGAAGTCTATTGTGACTCTTGCAACATGTGATCGGGCATCATCTTGTTGGAAAGTTGGATCTGCCAGGGTGTAGAACTTCGTGGATATAACGCTGCGCGTTCATGTTACCTCTGATGAAGATTGAAGGTGACCTGGAACCATAAGCTATAGCACCTCAAACCATAACTCCAACAGTGTGATGAACATGCCTTTCAACAAAAAACTGTGGATTCCTCCTTTCACCACGTCGCCTTCTAACCCTGGCACGACCATCGTGCATGCCTAAACAAAATCGAGACTCGTCACTAAAGACAATACTGTTCCATTCCTGATCCCAGAGTGACCGTTGTCTGCACCACTCAAGGCGATTACGTCGGTGTTCTCGAGTTAAAGGGAGGACCCAGTGTGGCCGGTATGAAAACAAGCCAAAACTTCTCATTCGTCGGTAAACACTTCGCATGCCAATAGGTCTTCCGTGTTCTGCAAACCATTCATTTGCAATGGACCTGGTAGTGGAGAAACGGTCCCTTAAGGCCAATAATCTTAGGCGGCGATCTTCACGGCGGCGTCCAGTGCTCCTTGCTCTTTGCGTACGGCCTTCTCGAAGCCATGCCTGACAACACCTAACCACAGTGTCTACACTTCTTTGCACTCTAACTGCAATTGCCCGAAAAGAAAGTCCAGCTTCCCGAAGTCCCACTATACGGCCCCTATCAAACTCACTAAGTTGACGAAATAGTACAGGTCTCCGTACTCTAGGCATCGTAACCGATCGTAAAGGATGTCAAGAACCAAAGTCCGCCAACGTTGATTCTTTACTGCGGCTGAAATATTCATTTTTAGAGCGTTAGTGAATTAAAAAAAAAGCAGTATAAAAACCGGAATGTCCAACTGATAAGATAAATACATTCACCAACTTTTATTAAAATAAAACCATTTAAACTGGGTGTTCGGATTTATATGTCACTTAGTATATTGTGACTAAAATTTATCTGAATATCTTCAAATATGACGGAGCTGTAAGCCGTTAAAGTTGGACATTGTTTCAGACAATCGAAATTATTATGTTATATGATATCAAACTTCTTGCTTTTACAAGCTCTATTTAAATATGCAATAAAATATATATTTGTAAAAATATATGTTTGCTATGGCACGAAGTTATGGAATACCCCGTATATATTAAAATAATTTGCACCAGTAACATATCAAGTTGCCACGAAAACGGATTTTTGATCTTTTCCAGTTTGATTATGAAACTGATTTCCATTTTCGTTGGGGGACACCCTGTATATTTCATGAAAGAATGCTACCAGTTCTATAATCCATTGTGAAGAGAAGGCATTTTTTATATAAACTTGCGGAACGACAAAACTTGGATCCATGTATTCTGAATTTGAGATTTGTACGAGGGTTGTTTCAAAAATAAGGTTCCCTAATTTTTTTCGCTCACAAGGAATTTTTGAGTCGAAAAAATTAATTCACCATTGGAAACGATGATATTTAAGCTATTTTTCTCCGTAGCCGCCATTTTTTGCACTCGGAGACAAGAATCCAATGAAATTATCATTAGCACACAAATCCCCACTATGCACCTGTGCATTATCGTTTCCTTCTAAGTATACAGAACAACTTAAAGCTTAGACCTCCAATAATGCCATCTCTGAAGCAGATTTTACACCACATCAGAGCCAAACATTGATAACTGAAGCAACATGACGTTTAGGCAACACGTACAACTACGATACTAATTCACAACACTAGTGCTACATCTTGTAGCAAAACCTACATAATGTCACAAAAAACCAATACAATGTAAAAAATCGACATGTCACTTTTCAAGACACGTAATACCCGTGCTGTACTGGGCATCGTAAATAGGCGCTTTGTGTTGGGATCGGTGGTAGGGGAGCCGACAAACACGACGCTGTTGCCAGACTTCGTCTAGCATCACGCGCCGCAAAGATACAGCGTTGCAAACCTTATTCTTGAGACAACCCTCGTAGTAAAAAATATAGTAGTGTAAAGAGTCCCTTTGTGTTTTCTGATATTCTCTTAAATCTGAATTCAAGGTAAGTTATAGAAGTAGCAATTTTCGTATCGTAATGATCATCAATTTCGTCTATTAACCATTGATTTTTTTCTAACAGCTCAAGTTCCATAACGTTTTGTCGTTCATAAACATTGTTTCTTTTTGCTCGATAGCGCATATTTAATAGCGAGAAAAAATGAATAAAGCCTCAAGGATTCAAAATATCGGACATCTTTCCAACCAATAAGAATGCAAGATGTTATGGTATCATTTTTTCTTGTGGACTAATGAAATAATCATCCAACTTAACATTACAAATCATGAAGCTTGATTCATAGATTGACTTTCAATTTAATCTGTCTCTGAATTAAACGACATGATTTTTCCTGATTTGCAACAACGCCTTATTACGCGTATGTCTATTTGCATTAACTTTTTTATTCTGTCCATTGATCCATCCAGCCAGTTATTGTATATTATTATTATTGATAAAATATATATCTAATAGTTTGTCCATTTTTTGATTGATTGTACATTCATTTTTGTCTTAATTTGATTTAGATCTGTCTTGTCAAAGTATTGTGGTATCCTCAGCAAAAACTGTGAATTTATCATTTATGTTTGAATTTCTTAAATCATTGTTATAAACGAAAAATAGGATCGGACCGAATACTGTTCCTTGAGGTACCCCTGCGCTTATATTTAATTTCATTTGAAATAATATGAAAAAAGTTTCTATAAACATAGGTCCGGAAAAGCAGAGTTCAAGATACAGGGTGATAAATTTAAAGAAAATATACAGTAATGGACAAAAGTATATAGACAAATATGAATATTTACCTAAATACCTTTAGAAAACGAATTCATACTTCATTGCTCCATAAACAAATGCGTTATTAGTAGAAAAACTAAATTCCTTGTTTTTACATTATCTGCAATGAAAACAATACAAGTCTGAATATAAGCACTTTTTTATGAGGCGTAAAAATATGTAGACAAATTCTTTTGTTATGTTACCCTATATGGAAGTCAATATGCCCTTAAGATCAATCTTCCAGCAAGATAATGACCCGAAGCACACTTCAAATCTCGCAAACAAATTCTTTCTCGATGAAAAAATACCAGGACTCAAATGGCCTTCACAGTCTCCCGATATAAACCCCATTGAAAATCTATGGGAATACTTAGATACGCAAATATGAGATAAAAATTATTCTAACAAGGATGAACTTTTTGCCGCTTTAGAGCGAAAGTGGAGACAGATTGATGAATGTTATATCAAGAAACTTCTACAATCTATGCCGAGACGATGCCAGGCGGTGATTGATAATAATGGTTATGCTACAAAATATTAACACAAACATGGTTGGTTTTCTATAATTCAGTGAACTTTGCTTCTTTTTTCTATAATTGTTTTGCTTTGTCTATATATTTTTGACCTTCATAGTTCCAGTTTTTTCAATTAATTGAATTAATTTATTTATGTATAAGTGAGTATTATGCTATAACGAAGTATGAATACAGGTTGGTGTATTAATAAAACAAGTTAAAAAGAAATGCAGCACAATATTAATTTGTCTATATACTTTTTCCATTACTGTATATTAATATCACTGGTCAACAAAATTTTAACTTTGTCGTGCCACACGGACTTTTTTGATATTTTTTACTTTAATTTGTGATTGTAAGAAAAAATAAACAGTTAAAAAAATTTGCTAGACAAGGATTTTATTCCATTGAGTAATTTAAAATATTAAGAAAAAACACAGATCTCGTAAATCAAAAGTTATTTTTTTTTTATAAATGACAATAATCTAAGATTTTCTTGAATATTTAGCTTCTGGTTGGTCCCTTTTAATTGTCCAGCAGTAATCTGCTAACATATTTGGGCTCCATTTGCCCTGGTACCGCTTTTCCATATTAGAAATGTCCTGATGGAACCTCTCACCGTGCTCGTCGCTGACAGCCCCTAAATTGTCAGGAAAAAAATCCAGCTGCGAGTCTAAAAAATGGATCTTAAGTGACATGTTGCAACCCAATGCTTGATATGACAATAATAGCTCGCTAACCAACTTTCTGTAGCTGTCACTCTTGTGGTTACCCAAAAAATTTGCAACATTTTTAAAAGCCTTCCATGCAGATGTTTCTAAATCGCTTAATTTTTCTTCAAATCTTGAATCTTTTATTAACTCCCTAATTTGAGGGCCAACAAAAATACCCTCTTTTATCTTTGCATCACTTATTTTAGGGAATTTTTCTTTTAGATACAAAAATCCACTCCCATTGCGATCCATTGCCTTCACAAAATTTTTTATTAATCCTAATTTGATATGCAATGGTGGTAGAAGCACATTATTTGGCTGTACAAGGGGTAAATACTTTACGATTTTTTGCCCAGGAACTAACGATGCACGCGTAGGCCATGTTTTTTTTATATAGTGATTAGTTCTGTCTCGGCTATCCCATTCACATAAAAAGCAGCAAAACTTGGTATAACCCAGCTGAAGTCCAAGTAATAGTGCAACAACTTTAAGATCACCGCAGATTTTGAAGGAATATGTACTGTAATTTATTTTTTCAAGTAAAAGTTTCATATTTTCATAGGTTTCTTTCATATTTGCAGCATGGGCCAGAGGTACAGACGGAAGCTTATTTCCATTATGCAATAACACTGCTTTTAGACTTGATTTCGAAGAATCAATGAATAAACGCCACTGAGAGAGATCAAAATCTATGTCCAACATTTTCATAATCTCATTTATGTTATTGCAAAACACCAAATCTCCATCCTGAGAAAAATACGTTCTGAAGTGTTGATCACGGTTTCGAAAATAGCTAGCTTTTGTATTATGATGTAGCAAATTCCATTCTTTTAGACGTGATCCTAATAGTTCTGACTGCTTTTTTGACAAATTTAAATCCCGAACCAAATCATTTAGGTCTCCTTGAGGTATCAAATGTGGCTCGTTTACAATTCCTTTTAACTCAAAGTCATCGTCCTCGTCAACACATTCACCTGAAGTGGACGGTTGTGAATTGTTCTAAACAGACGTAGTTGCAACTGGTATTAGTTCTGGCAATTTTTTACAATGAGAGACTGCTCTTATAGCCGAAGATAAGTTAGGGTAAATAACTGTGGTTTTTTTCTTGTAATTTATACCTTTTATGTCTGTGAGACAAAAATAGCAATCTGAAACGTGATCTCGCTGTTCAGTCCATATCATGGGTACAGCAAACGGCATAGGTCGTGCACCTTTCTTGCAGTCAGTTAAATTTTTCACACACGTTATGCAACAGACGTGAGGGGCCCAGAATTTGTCTTGATGGGCGACAGAAAAACCAAAACATTGGTGATAACACTCCAACACAAGATTCGTAAAATTTCGTCGTTGTTTTTTGAATGTTAGTTCTCCGCAGTCATAACAAAAAGAGTTAGGATCATTATTACACTTCCTCGACATATTCACAGGGTTAATAAATCACAAAAAAGTGTTCAAATTCAACAACAAATATTTTTATAAGGATTTACTCGTAAGCGTTTCTGTTAATTTACTGCCGTAGTACTAATTATGAGTATTACCGTATCACAACAAATATGAGGCTAATAGACATATGACAGCTGTCATGTAATAATGAGGGTAGACTGATAAAACAAAATTAGCTGTCAAAGTTCGTGTGGCAAAACCAGTGTTGACCAGTGTATCTTAAAAATATTTACTGGATTGTGTTGAAATTTGAACTGACGCGCAAATGTCAAACCTCCATGCAGAAATGTTTTTTGTTTTCCAAGGCACTTGTGATTTTTTAGCAAAAATTAATAAACCAATTTTTCTTATATTTTTTTTTCGAAAACTAAGTGAGATACGAAAAAAATACAAGATGCAAAGAAGTTGTATCTTTGTTTAATCAAACGACGAATATTAATGTTACATAAAAGGCAGTGGCGTACTTATGTTTACCAATAATATTCGAGACGCCACTGGACCCAATAATTTAATCTATTTAAGGCCAAATTAGCCTACAACAAATAATATTGTCAAATTTCAACAGAATCGAGAAAATGTTTAAGATATAAATAAAAAGAGCATTTTTGTTTATAGAAACTTTTTTCCATATTTTTTAACATAAAATATCTACGTCGCTAGATAATTTTGCAGTTTGGGATCGAATCTCTTAGATAATTTGCACTAACTGGCTGGATTTTGATGTTCGTTCGCATTGCTCCGTAACACTCAGCATGTACACATTACTATTTCTTTGCATAACTCATCATGTCATGTTTTTCTTTTGTTTTCTTGATGTTGTGTAGACTGTCCATCTAAAACCTATGTAGAGGAGCTGGAAAAGCAGGTCCGGCAGTTCATGGCCCGTAAGAAATTTATCATTTTTATTATTACATTTATATTTTAGTTATTTAAGACTATCCAGTTGTCGACGTTTCGTCTTTATTTGTCGGGGAAGTATGGAAACTGTAGGCTGTGTGTCATAAGTCATAACGAGCAGGCAGGCGCCCCAGTCTGTGCTATGAACCGTAAACGAGTTTCATGTTTTATTAAATCTTCTAATTGCACACTTTGGGATTTTAAAGAACAATTAAGTACTAGCATAGAAATAAAAATGTAGATTAAAGGTGTTCTAAAATTAGGTGCAAGAATTTCTGCCTAAAGTTTGAATTATATGCAGAAAACTGACCCTGTTTTTTAGTGAATTGCTTGCCGCGAGTTGCCTTGATATGGTTAAAAATCTTGAAGGTTATCGAAGCTACTTTGATGCTGTTAAACCTCATGCCGCATAAAACTGACAGTTTCCATACTTTCTCTAACTTTTACCAAAGCAACTGAAATCAAGGTAAATGAATTTGTTTAAAATCTTTTTAACTATTCTATTCCTAACTATTGATTTTCCATTGTAACTGTAATAATTTTCATTAGGACCCTGTTACTCTACAGCTTTCTAGTTTTCGCTTTTCATCTAACTGTGCAACGTTTCAAACTGATCGATTTTTTGTGTTGTGAAAATATGTCTAGTTTTGTTAGAAGTGATCGTTTTTGCTTAAGTTTGACTTTGCTAGAGTATGAATTTTTTGAGCATTGTGATAAGCATGCTTATGATGTTTTTCGAAAGGACACTTGCTTTCAGTATGGATTTCTCAAAAAAAAAACTATGATTCTAATTACTTTAGACTTTTTTAGAGAAAGCAGGTGGTCTCACAACTTTGATTCACGAAACATTTTCATACAGTGACTGATCTATGCAAGGTGTTACAGAATGTTTATTTATTCATTTACGGCTTCCCTTTACATACAAAAACATTACGTACAATAGCTTTATATGAGTTATTAAACTAAATAAGAACTAAAGATTCATATCTACTTACATTTAAAAACTTAACAAACTGAGGTTAAATAGAAACATTTTCCATGTACTGTACTGAAGGTTGTTTTTTTTTAATTTGTAAGTTATATTGGTTTTTGAATTTGAAACTTTGTTTTAACTGCGAACTGAGAAGGGTTTTGCCATATACCGTTCTTAGAATAAAATGTACTCATATTAAAAAAAAGTAAATTCTTTTAGTCAAATCTCTTCTGAAAGTAGTACAAACTAATCTGATGTACCTATTAAAGTCTACTTCAAGCTTTACATCAATAAATCTTGAAAACTACTGAACCGAAGCTCATGTATTTTACATCATTATAAAGGGAATTGAAAGGCCTTTAAAATAAGGTATCACTCGACCCCCCTTTCCATTTAAGATTTTAGGGTTGGTGTTACCCCCGCTTAGGGGGCTGCACGTGCTAATGTGATTTTTTGGCAAACTTGTATCCCCCTCGAAAACAAAATCGACAGGTCTGAGCGTTTTTCAAAAAAAAAACTAAGCTGCCAGTAAATGCGTCTGTTTCGTTTTCGATGCGCCACCCTGAACATTAATGAAATGAGATACGCATATCCTCTAATTTTTTTCCGTTTTCTAACAACTCAAAAAATAATTTAGTATATAGCACGATAACTGGGAAATTTTCCCAACAACATTCTGCAATACCCACGTTCGAAACATCTAATTTTCAACCTATAGATCAGTCATCATTAATCTCTACCAAGACCTAACGAACATTCAAATGTTTAGAGGAAAGCGACATGGACAGAGTGTTCAAGCTCCCGTCGACGACTTTCATCGGCGGCAAGGAGAACGCTCTACCGCTCAGGGAGATTTTGAAACGATTGGAACAGACGTACTGCAGACACATCGGAGCCGAATACATGTTCATCAACAGTTTGGAACAGTGCAACTGGATCAGGCAGAGATTGGAGACGCCTGGAATTATGGACTTGACCGCCGAACAGAAGAGGCTGGTATTGGCGAGGCTGACCAGGTCGCACGGGTAGGTTTCGATGATTAAAATTACGTATACTTTATCTGAAGTCACTTGAAACACTGTGAAATACCGGGTGCGTTTTATATATCTATAGTTAACACGCTCTGTTGCTGCAAAAATCGTCAAATTTCGCAGCAAATATCCCCCGTATAAGAACAAAGGCAGTTTCACCGGTCCACGTGGAGTAAAGCACGCCTATGCGTGGACATAGCCAATGAGAAAGCGTGTATTTCAGAGCTCCGAACAAGTGCAGGTGGCTACTGAAAATTGAAACAGTTTAGCCAGTGCCGTGTAGCGGTGAATAAACGTGTTTTCTTTAGTCTGTCCGTGTTTTTTCATAGATTTTATTAGTTTGTGTGTTTTTGACTTTTGAATACTCTGTTTACTTGTTGATTTAATTGTTGTGTTGATTGTTCTTGTGAGTCCTAAATATGGCTCTTTGGTGGAGACCTTGGGAAAATGCTCCAAGCCACGAGGAGATGGTTGATGAACCTGTGCAGGCAGAATTCTTTCATAAAGATTTAGAGGAACAGACCCAAAGAGTAATCCTAAATATGTATGATTGTCTGAAAAACGAAAATCCAGATTCCTCGCAAAATCAAATTTTAAACAGAATTTGTATCCTGTCAAAAATCAGTCGGTCTACCATTTATCGGGTTATAAAAAGGGGAGATGTAGTCAACCATTCCTTCCACAGAAAGCGCATAGGGCAAAAATTAAAAAGAATAGACGTGGGTTTTCAGGAAGATATTCGTCGTATTATATACGGATTTTATAAAGAAAATTTGGTGCCCACGTTGGAAATGATACGGGATAAATTAAAAGATTATCCTGAAGATTTTTATAATTACAAATGCTTAGACTCGCTGCACTGTATTGTAAAACTGTGTGGTTTTCAATACAAAAAATTAGATAAAAGAATGGTGATTATGGAGTCGTCTCGAATCGTTGAATTGCGCCAAGAATTTTTGCACAAAGTTAAAATCTATAGAGAGCAGAAAAGAAATCTGATTTACCTGGATGAAACGTGGTATGATACCCATGATGTTGTGCAGTACGGCTGGGTTGACGACAGCAACAAGTGCATTTTAAATGCACCATGCAACGGTGGAAAACGAATCATTATTCTCCATGCTGGCAGTGAAAATGGATTTATACCTAATGCCTTGCTGTTATCTGCCAAAAATATCAAAGAATCATGTGCCGACTATCATGAGGACATGACCTCCGACTTATTTGAAAAGTGGATAGAGCAGCAGTTAATACCAAACATTTCCCCAAATTCACTGATTATTATGGACAATGCGCCATACCATTCCCGACAGAAAAACAAAATTCCGAATACAGGCACAAAAAAACAAGACATTATTGATTTTATGAAGTATAAGGGAATGGAAATACCACAAAAATCAACCAAAGCCATATTATTGGATCTTATTAAAAGGCAAAAATTTGAAAAAGAGTATGTTGTTGACAATCTGCTTCAGCAAAATGGCCATGAAGTATTACGTCTACCTCCCTATTACTGCATTTTTAACCCGATTGAGTAGGTCTGGGCTGCTTTAAAAAAAAGTAAGAAAACATAATCAGACCCCTCAATTAAGTGAATCGCTATTGGCCACAATAAGAGATGCAGTATCTCATATTGCTGCCACAGACCTATGGAAGCAGTGTTCTAGGCATATTATTGAAAAAGAAAATGAATATTGTGTTTTGCCTCCTGTAAATCCCGTTGTAATTCCTCTACAAGATGACTCTAGCGACAGCTCCGAAGGCGAGGATGATTTATAAATACCTATAATGTAAGTCTTTATATACCTTTTTATATACCTACCTGTTATGTAAATATTTGCCTATGTCAAACGTTGGAATTCTGTAATTTTTCCATTTCTTAACTTTCAGTCAACATAAATTAAACTCCCAATATAAGTATTTTTTATGCCAAATCAAATAAATAAGAAGATAGTAAAATCCATTTATTGTGATATAAAAACATTATTATTATCGTTCTAAATAAATGACCGCACGCCTATGATACGTCATGAAATTACAAAGGACGCGCCGACCAAAGGTTTTTATGCTATTTCAAGTGACTTCAGATAAAGTATACATTCAAAAATTAAACAAAGGTATCCATTTGCTCACTATGTGCATTGCTATGCGCATCAGTTAAACCTGATTGTGTCTCAAGTTGCTTCCGCAAATGCTCAAGTTCGGGTGTTCTTTGGGGATTTGAAAGATATTCCGGTATTTTTTGATAATTCTCCTCAACGCGTGGAGGTACTGAACAGAATTGTGGGGAAAAAATTCCCCAAGGAGCAACAACTGGTTGGAATTTTAATATTCGAACAATAAATGTAGTGTTTGAGAAGAAAGAATCACTCATTGAATGCATGGAAGAAATAGAAGAAAATTTCACTGATGAAACCGTTTGCAAGGCAGCTTGCGGTATTCGCCGTATGTTAAACGAATCTGTTTTCGTGTTTTGGTTGACATTTTTTCATCATGTCACGCCTCACGTCGACATCTTGTTCATCCAGTTGCAGAAGAGAAAAACCGAGTCAGCGCAAGTTAAAACGGCTATCGATAATTTTGAAAAATGTATTGTCGATGTCAGAAACAAAATTGATGGCATAATAAATGAAGCCAAAAGTATCTGCACTGAACCCCAAGGCAACAAAAGGAGACGACGTAATAATAGCAGTCACGATCACCGAGTTGTCGCATTAGAAGAATGCGAAAATATAGTGAATTCTGCAAATGACAGATTTCAATTCAAAGATCATTTGGTAGCCGCATCCCTTTTTTCCCCGAACACTGTGGAGAATACTGTGGTAAGTTTCCTGATGACGAGTTTGAAACTACCTGCTTGCCTTATCCCGAATTGGAAAAAAGTCGTTTAAAGACAAAGTTTTCTGTTATTTATGCACGGAATGATTGCTGAGATTTACATGGAACTCTGTCTTTTTGATACAAAGTAGTTTGGAGGAAACACTAAAAGAAACAAAAAAGCTATTAGAAATTATTGTTACAACTCCTATGTCAACATCAGAGGCTGAGCGAAATTTCTCAACATTGAAAAGAATCAAGACTTTTCTTCGTAATACTATGACCCAGGATCGCCTTACAGCGTTGTCGATGCTGTCCATTGAAAAGGAATTTATTTCGACCATGGAAAATTTCAACGGGAAGGTGATCGACAAATTTGCTGCCAAGAAGGAGCGCAGAATCGAACTGACATAAAAAATAGGTAAGTTCGGATTTGCAGAACACCTGTTTTATTTTGCCATGAGCCGCCACTGAGCTGAGGAGGTAATTCGCGTGGAAGTCGCCCAAGTTGAGAGAACGATGTTGGAGAGAGTCTCCGCGAACTTTCAATACTGATGTGATGTTCTACACTTAATTGTGTGCTATTTCTTTGTGAACCCGAATCCGTCAATACATTTGTTTTTGGGTAAAAATTACCGATTTTGTGATTGTTTAAAAACCGTCCGACCTTTGTGAAAGACCTGGTATTTCCAAAAGTTACGTCAAATTACACTGATCAACAGCCAAAAAATATCCTAAATAAAATCAACAAAATATTACTATTTTTAATGTGCTAAAACCGGAATGAAACTTATTTTTTCAATATTAGTTCAAGTTTTAGAGATACGGTAATTATATGTGTTCCTGCTGTGACAGTGTTAATATACTGTAATTCACAAGAATGCACGTACTACATTTTTATATTCGGCAAGGAAAGATGATGTAATCGGCATGATTGTGTTACGTTATACATACGTGTACATTATATTGTTTTATATTAGCCATTTTTTCCTCAGTTGGCTGACAGCGTTCATGCAAGATGTCTCGAAAGTGTGTAAACAATCCAGATCAGTTTTGTTACGTGTGTGGTGATGTGACTTTTGCGTCTCAGAGTCGGTCTATTACTCCACTAATATAGCATAGCATATAGCATATCAGCTTTATTTCGGTTGTAAACTAGGTGATCAAGACAAACAGTGGGCACCCCACATCTGCTGTAATCCATGTGCTTCAAGTCTGAGGAGCCGGTTAAACGGCAAAAAACGGTCTATGCGCTTTGCTGTCCCAATGGTTTGGAGAGAGCCTACAAATCATATTAATGATTGTTACTTTTGCATGGTACCTTGTGTTGGACAAGCCACAGGTATGTCCAAGAAAAAAAAAATCGGTTATTAACTACCCAAACATACCATCTGCGCTGAGACCTGTGCCTCACAGTGACGAAAATCCTATTCCAAAACCCCCAGAATCCTACACTTGCGAATCAGAAAACGAATCAGATCATGGCGATCGAGTGATTCGTCAGGAAGGAGATATGCCATCGACGACGTCAAGAGATCCTGATTTTATACCGAGCACGTCATGCCACCAACCGCACAAAATAACACAGTCAGAATTAAATGATCTTGTAAGAGATTTAGAACTTCCAAAATGTAAGGCAGAGTTACTTGGATCAAGACTGCAGCAGTGGAAGTTGTTAGAAGACGATGTTTCGGTATGTGTTTTTCGTAAACGCCACAAAGACTTAGAACCATTTTTCAATATGGAGAATAACTTGGTTTTCTGCAGTAACATTAACGGCTTACTGGCGGCTTTAAATATAAACTATAACCCAGAAGAATGGAGATTGTTTATAGACAGTTCAACATTGAGTTTAAAGGCAGTGTTATTGCATATTGGAAATATTTTACCATCTCTTCCTGTAGAGTATGCACTTCACATGAAAGAATCATATGACAATATGAAGTACCTATTGACATGCATAAAATACGATGAGCACCAATGGCATATTTGTGGCGATTTGAAAGTTGTTGCACTTTTACTTGGGCTGCAGCTAGGCTACACAGTTTTGCTGTTTTTTGTGTGAATGGGACAGTCGGGCAAAGGCACTTCATTACACCAGACAAAACTGGCCTGTTCGTCAATTCCTAGAGCCAGGTCAAAAAAATGTACAGCATATGCCATTAGTAGATTCAAAAAAAATTTATTACCACCACTGCATATCAAGTTGGGCCTAATGAAAAACTTTGTCAAGGCATTAGATAGAGATGAGTCAGCTTTTCAATACCTGCGTCAGAAATTTCCAAGACTAAGTGAGGCAAAGGTTAAAGAAGGTATTTTTGTTGGGCCACAGATTCGAAATATTTTGAAAGATACACAGTTTGAAAACACTTTAACAGGTATTGAAAAAACTGCTTGGAACGATTTCCGTCTGGTGGTCATTAATTTCTTGGGAAATAGAAAAGCTGACAACTATAAAACCCCTTTCAAAAATATGCTGTCATCGTATCAAAAGATGGGCTGTAATATGTCTCTTAAGATACATTTCCTACACTCACACCTGGACTTTTTTCCTGACAATTGCGGAGCCGTAAGTGATGAGCACGGCGAACGTTTTCATCAGGATATTTCAACAATGGAAAAAAGGTACCAGGGAAAGTGGAATCCTTCCATGCTTGCAGACTACTGTTTGACTCTTGGTAGAGATGCTCCAGAAACGATCCATGAAAGAACAGCAAAAAGACAGCGCATATAGTGATTCTTATAAGTATATGAATCTTGTTACTTTTTTTAATATATCCTTAAAAATAAAGTTTTTTTCTAAACCGCAACTAATTTTTTTATTTCATTGTCATTTTTTGATTCAGCGCCCCAAAATTAACAAAGAAGTGCACTTTTCCCACAAGATACAATTAAAAAACTAAAATTTGTTGTCCAGTGTTATTTTTGAAACTGCTTAAATGTCTGTGCTTTTTTAATATCTTTCGAATCATTGAAAATTCTACAACACATGTAACTCGAAGATGTCTCGATTTTTCGTTTTGTTTTCAGCTTTGAATCGTTCCTGGCGAAAAAATGGTCGTCAGAGAAGCGATTCGGTCTGGAAGGCTGCGAAATGCTGATCCCGGCCATGAAGACGGTCATCGACAAATCTACGGAACTCGGCGTCGAGAGCATCGTTATGGGGATGCCGCATAGAGGGCGCTTGAACGTGCTTGCTAACGTATGTCGCAAGCCGTTGCATCAGCTGTTCACGCAGTTCTCCGGTTTGGAAGCGGCGGATGAAGGATCCGGAGATGTCAAGTACCATTTGGGTACTTATATCGAAAGGTTAGTACAGGGGTACCTCATATTTTTAGTTTTTAATAAATTTAAACGTGAATGGTAAATTCATAGTTTTTACTGATCATACCACAATGCTTTGACAAGACACAGATATAAATGACATTGAAACAAAAACGGACATGATTTTGTTGTAGATTTATGTCAATGTTACACAGTATATCACATAATATATTATCTTCAAGACTACATATTTTTGTACAAAGTTTCAGTACTGTGCATTCTGTTTTTTCCCTTTAAACATTTTCAAACTAGCGCACATGTAGATATCATTACCGTAGTCATTGTTCGATTGAATAGAATTTTCCAAGTTATTTGGTAGAAGATGATTTTTTAACTTAAATATGAAAATGAAAACCAAGTAGGTGGGAAATTTTTGATACTCAACCATTGTTGTTCTTTCAGCGTAAAATATATTCTAGTATATTTATTTTTATTTAAGATGATTCTCATAGCTTTATTTTTCCATATTTGTAATTTTGAAAATACAGTTTCGTTTAAAGTGAACAAAATAATCGAACAATATTACAAATGAGGAAGAATGATAGTGTTGCACATTTTTTTTAGATTAAACGCTTAATCTGTGCGAATTTAATTTATTTTTTTGGATATTTTTGTAATACTAAGCAGGCTTTCGAAAAAAATATTCCACAGAAACAGCTTTCCAGTTGCTAACTGAGAATTGGAGAAGGGCCATAGACTCAGAAGAAGTTGTCATAGCAGTATTTTTGGATTTGAAGAGGGCATTTGAAACGATTGCTAGAGATATTTTGTTAGGTAAATTGAAGGCATATGGTATAACAGGAAGTGTTTTAGATTGGTTTAGAAATCATTTGTCTAAAAGGATGCAAGTTACAAAATTTAATGACACTATTTCATCAAAAATTAAAAATACGTTGGGTGTTCCACAGGGCAGTATCCTGGGACCACTTCTTTTTATTTTATACATAAATGATTTACCTGCCATAGTCAAAAAATGCAAAATTCAAATTTTCGCCGATGACACTATGATTATATAACTTAAATAAATGAAGACTTGAAGCTTGTCTCAAAATGGTTAACATCTAACAGACTAAAATTAAATGCAAGTAAAACGAAAGCCTTGCTAATCGGAAAAAAACAATGTACAAATGTTCAACTGAATATTGATGGTGAAGATATTGAATTCGTAGAAAATTTTAAGGGTTTTTGTTGACTCTCGATTAATTTTTGATATTCATTATGAAAAAGTTATAAATAATATTAGTACTAAAGTGGGATATTTATCGAGATTATCTGGGTGTCTGAGTTCATATAGCAGAAAAATTATCTATAATACCATCATTCTTCCAAATTTCTTGTACTGTTCGACTATTCTGTATTTAGCAAATAATTCCATTTTCGAAATACTGCAAATTTTACAAAATAAGTGCATGAGAATAATACTAAATAAAGATAAATATACTCCAATTAGGCAAATGCTTAGCAAATTAAAATGGCTCAATGTAAAAAATTTTATCAAATATCTTGTAATGATTTATAAAGTAAAAAATAATATATTTCCATCAAGTCTAACTAATTTAACATCATCAAATGTCGACCATCATTTACATAATACCAGAAATAAAGATGACTTGCATTTAATGACCAAAAAGTATAACATATGCTACAAATCTGTATTCCATCAAGGGTTGATTGAATATAATAAATTATACTCGGAGATAAAAGACCAGAAAACTTTGACAAAATTTAAAGTAAAGTTGAGAAATCACTTGTTAAATCTACAATTATAGGTTGCCCAGCATTTACATCATACACCATATGGCTTGAATTTACTAGTTCTAAGTTGTTTACAATTGTTCTGTTTATGTAGCCAAATGTGCTAAATAAATCTTTCTACTAGTACTACTACTATATCCATAGTTCCATCTTAATTTACTACGTATTGGCCCAAATATTTAAATGATTTGAATGACTCACTTTTTTTCATGATTACTCGTCAGATTAATTGAATTTTGATCTAAAGCTTTTCCTATGAGCATACTTTTTGTTTTGGTTGTATTTAATTTGAATTTATTCACATTCAACCAATTAATTATGTTTTTCATATCAATCAAAAAATACTGTAATTACAGTTACTTGACTTCCAATGTTAGTAAGACCAAATTTATGATTTTTAAACGCTACCTTGATCTGTATTCAAAATTCTGCAAAACTAACAATAAAGCATGTCTATCTTTCTGCAGTTAGAAGTCTAAGATCTGTATTAAGCTCCATTTTCACCGATTTGACGGACAGAAAGAAATCATCTTTGACAATCTTAGACGTTGACTTTGAGCATAGAATTTATAAGAATTATTCTAGGTTGAACCGGGTAACGAACAAAAATATCAGACTGGCCGTGGTAGCGAATCCATCTCACTTGGAAACAGTCGATCCAATGGCACAAGGGAAAACAAGAGCTGAACAGTTCTACAGAGGTGACGGGGAAGGCAAAAAGGTATATAATAATAATAATAATCGTCTTCATTGAAATTGTAGAATTCAATAGAGAGAAAAAAACGATTGGTAAAGCTTAGCAACACGCTACTCTTACACTTGACCAGCAATGAAAAAAAAATAAAAGTTGTAGCAGTGCGAGGTCAAACATCAGTGTCGGCCTTCTGACCACGTTCGGCTTTTTGAGGTTATTTCAGGATGTGGAATTGAAAAATTTTAATAATGAATTAATCAGCAACTCTTCAAATCCGTTCGTGGTGTTTTGTAAAATATGACCATAGATTTTGATAATTTTACAAAAAAATCGGTATACTATGTGGTCTCACTCCTGATGATGACAGCATAGACTGTCGAAAGCTTGAGTTGTAAGTTAAAAGAATGCACTCTGCATAATTTGCCGATTTTCTAAAATACGAATTTTTCTACTATATATATATATATACAAAGAAAGAAAAGAAATGTTCCTATTTTTCAGGTGATGTCTCTGTTGCTTCACGGTGACGCAGCTTTCGCAGGCCAGGGTGTGGTATTCGAAACTATGCACTTGTCAGAGTTGCCTGATTACACTACCCATGGAACTGTTCATATTGTCGCCAATAACCAGATCGGTTTCACAACCGATCCACGTTTCTCGAGATCATCTCCATATTGTACAGGTAAGACTTGAGCAAAAACTACTTTCAATTTCAGGACTTTGGTTCTCTTTACAGTGATAAAGCAGAATATCGTTTATAACCACCACTGTGGTCTTTTTCAAATTCATTTGTTAATTTTTTTGTTTTTATTTAGCATTAATGCTACAATGTCAATTTTTCATTTACACATTTTTTGAATCTATTTGAATTTTGCAGTATTCTAAAATGTGGCATCCCTACTGATATATTTTGAACGTTTAACATATTTCCAACTTTTGTTTTTTGACTTCTATTTACTAAATAATTTTGTAAAATGTCCAATACTGATCCTTTAAAACCATAGTGATGCAATTTCATTAACAATTTTTCCCTATCTATAGTCTCAAATGCCATTTTGAAGTCTAAAAATACATTCGTTCTCATCTAACTTCTTCTCCAGGCTTCCACCACCATTTGGATTACTGTTTCTGTAGAATATTTTTTTCTAAATCCAGCTTGATTTTTTGCAAAAATTTTGTTTTCTTCAAGAAATCCAATGATTTGTTCGTATATTTATTTTATTACGGCTGAAATTCTTTGGGGCATAGTGTTAACCAAGTTTTGGCAAAAATTTGGTGTAAAATAATCCCATATTTTTTGAAGCTTTTGTCTCAGTTCGGTGATTGTACGAGCAGGATGTTGTCGTAGAACCTCTTTCATCTCGTGCCACAAAGTTTCAATAGGTGACAGATCTGGACTTCTAGAAACCCATTTCAAAAGTGGTACATTATTTTCTTCCATCCATTTTATAGCCTTTTTTAAGGTATGGCACGCTGCACCATCTTGCTGAAACACAAAATCTTGGCAGGATGTCAAACATTCTTCCATCACTGGTAAAAGCGATTCTTCTAAAATTACCAAATATTTGTTTGTATCCACATTTCCATCAATAAAATGAAGTTTTCCTACTCCTTTTGATGACATACTGCCCCAGACCATAATGGTTGCTGGAAATTTCATTTTTCTCTTCAGACAGTCAACATGGAATGCTTCATTTTTTTTGCGAATAACTCTTCTTCGACTGTCACCAACACAAACTAAGATTTCAATAGTTGGGCCAACTGAAGTGGGAAGGGGCTAGTAGACAGTAGATAAGTCTTAAATCCGGCATATGCATTCACTGTAAGGCAAAATTCCAAGGTAAAACAATCATTTAGTAAAGAAACACCCTGACTTTATCACATCCGTTTCTAGTAAAATACATGAATGTAAACGTTGGGCATATAGAAGTCATAAAAAACTAATTTTGTTGCACATATGAAGACGAAACATCGCAGGTATAGACGGTATAAATCTGTCACAAGGTGTGGTTCAATATAAAAAGTAAAATGTGATTTATTGACTTGTTTATTTTTGTATACATTGTTTGAAGAAAAATAAAATATTTTTAATAATTGTTAAACTTTATTACCATAGTTCCCTAAAATGTGGTACTTGGTTTGATTGTTCAACATTAAAATTATTTTTTAATTTGTTAAAGTTTTCGTTTTTCTATTTTTAGGGGTTGAAAAATCACTACAAATCTATGGAAATTGACATTATTTATTCAATTCAAAGTGTAAACAAATGAATTCAGAACTTACCAAACTCCAAGCAAGCTTTGTCGTGTCTCCAAATGTATCCAATAGGTAACATAACACCACAGAATCACTGCAAATCGGCACACTACACGATGAAACGATCTAACATCGCATTCGAAACAACCGCGGATGTTTCTTTGTTTGTACCCGACGCGCGCCACGTGATGCCTCGGCTAGATCCAAAGATCGACTGAACAGCAGCTGTCCGTTGTGCGCCGGCCGTACCGAAACTCTCTCGATCACGTCACAGTCACATGTCCGTTTAACTCTGCCAATCGCATCTTAGGCGGAAAGTGGGGTGCGCGGTGGATTGCCGTCAACTTGAAGCTACTCCATTTGAAAGCGATAGGTGTAGCTCCGCCCACTTTGCACCCCACTTTCCGCCTAAGATGCGATTGGCAGAAAGAAACGGGCATGTGGCTGTGACGTAATCGAGAGCGTTCCGGTACGAACGGCCGGCGCACAGCGCACTGCTGCTGTTCAGTCGATCTTTGGATCTCGCCGAGGCAACACGTCGCGCGCGTCGTGCACAAACAAAGGAACATCCGCGGTTTTGAATGTGATGTAGTGTGCCGATTTGCAGTGATTCTGTGGTGTTATGTTACCTATTGGATACATTTGGAGACACGACAAGGCTTGCTTGGTATTTGGTAAGTTCTGAATTCATTTGTTTACACTTTGAATTGAAAAAATAATGTCAATTTCCATAGATGTGTAGTGATTTTTCATCCCCTAAAAATAGAAAAACGAAAAGTTTAACAAATTAAAAAATAATTTTGATGTCGAACTATCAAACCAAGTACCACATTTTAGAGGACTATGGCAATAAAGTGTATCAAGTATTAATTCTATTTTATTCTTCTTCAAACAATGTATACAAAAATAAACAAGTCAATACATCACATTCTAGTTTTTATATTCAACCATAACTGGATGACTGAAGGTATTCTTACTTCGATCAAGAAGAGAGATGAGTTGAAACAGAGTTTGACGAAAGATAATGATAATTTGATATTGAGACAGTCCTATATCTCCTACAGAAACAGAGTAACTAATCTTATTAAGATCTCTGTAAAATCAATATTATAGACAAATTTAATTTTAGCTGGTAATAACTATAGGAAGAGCTGGGATGTTATTAATGAGGTAACTAATGCTGGCAAAATAAAAAAAAAATGACGTAAAATCAATTAATCACAATAATCAGCAGCTGGACGCACCCACTGATATAGCCTGTGTTTTTAATAAATATTTTGTTGATATAGGTGAGCAAATAACAAGTCAGACTGATCAAAACTCAATTCTTGATACATCAGATCCTCATGTCGTCAACATTGCTCACTCTATGTTTCTAACTCCAGTGGATAACATAGAGTTACAACAAATAGTTTGTAATCTGAAAAATAATAGCGCACCCGGAAAAGATGGCTTACGCACTAAAACTATCAAGATGATCATGAAGTATATCAATCACCCTATAACTCACATTATCAACCTCTGTTTCAAATCCTCAGTAATTCCTCGCCAATTTAAAGAAAACATAGTGACACCAATATTTAAATCTGGAAGTAAAGACAATATGTTCAATTATAGACCTATTTCAGTTATCAATGTATTTGGGAAGATTTTTGAGAAGTGTTTGAATAACAGACTTTGTTCTTTTCTTGAGAAATATGACATAATATCGAACTGTCAATTTGGGTTCCGCAAAAATTGCAATACAGAGCAATCTCTACAAGAACTTACAGGACAAGTGCTTGAAAATTTTCAAGATGGAAATAAGACTGTTGCAGTTTTCCTAGATCTTCAAAAGGCTTTCGATTCAGTATCTCATACAATTTTAGTAAAGAAACTAGAAAGTGTTGGAGTGCGTAGTGGAGTTCTGAACTTATTTGAGAACTATTTGGCTGATCGATTACAACAAGTTAAGGTAGGGTCAGATTTAAGCAAAATCCAAGATCAAAATAGGTGTGCCTCAGGGGACGGTTTTGGGACCAACACTGTTCCTCATATACATAAATGAACTACTTCGATGTAATTTCAACTGTAAGATGATATCATATGCAGACAATACTGTTTTAGTTTGCACTGGTCATTCATGGGATGACGCAATACAGAATGCTGGTTGGATAACAATTTACTTAAACTTAATATCTCTAAAACTAAGTATGTAACGTTTTCTCCAACCAAAGCAGGCATGCCATTACACCACCGAACATTAATTCTAAATGATAGTGCTGAAACTGTCGAAAGAGTTGAAGTTATTAGATACTTAGGAATCATGGTTGACAGTAATTTAAAATGGCAGAGTCATGCCGAGCTTTTGGCATCGAAATTAAGGAGAATTATTCATAAGTTTTTCATTCTTAGGAATATTTTAAGCAGAAAGAGTCTTCTCTCAATATATAACTCGTTTGTGGGGTCTCTACTAACTTACGGGATAAGTATTTGGGGAGCCGCATACACTAGTACTTTAAAAATACTGCAAACCACGCAAAATTATATTGTCAGGACTATTTTTCGTATCTCACGTAGGTCAAGTTGCAGATTTGTTTACATTGAAAATGATCTTTTGAATGTTAGAGGTTTATATATTTTTGCTGCTCTAAAATTTGTCCACTCCCGAAACAATGTTCCAACCAGCCACGCTTATGAAACAAGAACTAAAATAAATATAATTCACACCTATACCAGAGTTAATAAATCTGTTTGCCAAAAATGCATAAAGTTTGATGGTATTAGGTTGTATAACAAATTACCCCTAGAATATAAAATCCTCTCGAAGTATAGTTTCAAAAAGAATTAAGAAGTTCATCTTAAATAACTTTGACATGCTTGCATCGACGGTAGCTTGACTCAACTCAGTAATTTCGTTTCTATCTAATGTTTTTTTTTATTTCTTTTTTTTATATACATTTGCTCATAATATACCTTATGACCATTAGCCGAAGTATACAGAATTTTCACAATTCATATACCGTTACTTGCTGGTTCTAGATCTGATGCTAGTATCTTTGCTCAGATTTCTGTTGCAATCTTGGTTATTCAGGGTAGCAAGTGCATACAAGCTCATGTATTTTTTAAGCTTTTTTTATTTAAATTGTACTGAAGGTTGTTTTTAATTTGTAAGTTATATTGGTTTTTGAATTTGAATAACTTGTAGATACTTGACGCGGTGACAGATTCATACCGTCTATACCTACGATGTTTCGTCTTCATATGTACAACAAAATTAGTTTTGATGACTGTTTTGTCGTATTGATTAGGGAGTGATAAAGTTGGTGTTTTCTACTATATATTATCAAAATATTCATTGTTAATATTTTAAACCTGCTACATTTTATTATTTGTGTTCGATAAGAAAAAAACTAAGATTTCAATAGTCGGGCCAACTGAAGTGGGCAGGGGATCGTACCGCGACACATACCTGTAGTCTACCTATTTCAGACGTGGCGCGTGTCGTGAACGCGCCCATCTTCCACGTGAACGCCGACGATCCCGAAAGCGTCATCCACGTGTGCAACATGGCCGCCGAATGGAGAGCCACCTTCCACAAGGACGTCGTCATCGATCTCGTCTGCTACAGGAGATACGGACACAACGAACTGGACGAACCGATGTTCACACAGCCTCTGATGTACAGGAAGATCAAGGAGACCAAGCCGGTGCTGTTCAAGTATTCCGAACAGTTGCTCAAGGAGGTGAGTGTCGATTGTTTATCGCGATAGATAAGGTTTACCACGAAGGGGAAATTTTATGATTTTTTTAAACATTATCTTCAAGATAGCCATCGGTTTGTATGTACTTGTGGTAATGGAAGTTCCTCTAGACAAATCACCGACGGAGTTACCCAAGGATCGGTTTTGGGGCTATTGTTATTCCTGGTTTATGTCGATGTAGTTTTCTCACTGTCTTTGGAAGGAGATATCATCATACAACGGTGACAGTTGGAGAAACAAGATGGGACTTATTTTTTATATTTAAAAAAAAAATATTTTGCCACATTTGGAAAGACCATAGAATTTAATAATCATTACCACAATTATTATACAAGAGGAAATATAGATTTTCATTTTACCAAAATTGCAAATAGTAATGTTGTTGTTTGAAGATTTTATTTAGCATAATGCTTACAATGTCAATTTTGTTATACATAATTCGGTTACATATTTTTCATCCAATCCATTTTCTATAATTTTACACTCTATAAAACGTACGTCATAAGTGAATTTCCCTGACATAAAACTAACGTCATAGAATAATTGTAATTGATCATAAGCGTTTTGTTGTAAGATCCAAATTAAAAAATCACACTTCCGAAATTCAAATACATAGGCTCGCACGTAAATCTTAAGAGACATATTACAGCCCATCTTTTGATACGATGACAGCATATTTTTGACAAGGGTTTTATAGTTGTCAGCTTTTCTATTTCCCAAGAAATTAGTGACCACCAGACGGAAATCATTCCAAGCAGTTTTTTCAATACCTGTTAGTGTTTTCAAACTGTGTATCTTTCAAAATATTTCGAATCTGTGGCCCAACAAAAATATCTTCTTTAACCTTTGCCTCACTTAGTCTTGGAAATTTCTGACGCAGGTATTGAAAAGCTGACCCATCTCTATCTAATGCCTTGACAAAGTTTTTCATTAGGCCCAACTTGATATGCAGTGGTGATAATAAATTTTTTTTCGAATCTACTAATGGAATATGCTGTACATTTTTTTGACCTGGCTCTAGGAATTGACGAACAGGCCAGTTTTGTCTGGTATAATGAAGTGCCTTTGCCCGACTGTCCCATTCACACAGAAAACAGCAAAACTTTGTGTAGCCTAGCTGCAGCCCAAGTAAAAGTGCAACAACTTTCAAATCGCCACAAATATGCCATTGGTGCTCATCGTATTTTATGCATGTCAATAGGTACTTCATATTATCATATGATTCTTTCATGTGAACTGCATACCCTACAGGAAGAGATGGTAAAATATTTCCAATATGCAATAACACTGCCTTTAAACTCAATGTTGAACTGTCTATAAACAATCTCCATTCTTCTGGGTTATAGTTTATATTTAAAACCGCCAGTAAGCCGTTAATGTTACTGCAGAAAACCAAGTTATTCTCCATATTGAAAAATGATTCTAAGTCTTTGTGGCGTTTACGAAAAACACATACCGAAACATCGTCTTCTAACAAGTTCCACTGCTGCAGTCTTGATCCAAGTAACTCTGCCTTACATTTTGGAAGTTCTAAATCTCTTACAAGATCATTTAATTCTGACTGTGTTATTTTGTGCGGTTGGTGGCATGACGTGCTCGGTATAAAATCAGGATCTCTCAACGTTGATGGCATATCTTCTTCCTGACGAATCACTCGATCGCCATGATCTGATTCGTTTTCTGATTCGCAAGTGTAGGATTCTGGGGGTTTTGGAATAGGATTTTCGTCACTGTGAGGCACAAGTCTCATCGCAGATGGTATGTTTGGGTAGTTAATAACCGATTTTTTTTTCTTGGACATACCTGTGGCTTGTCCAACATAAGGTACCATGCAAAAGTAACAATCATTAATATGATTTGTAGGCTCTCTCCAAACCATTGGGACAGCAAAGCGCATAGACCGTTTTTTGCCATTTAACCAGCTCCTCAGACTTGAAGCACATGTATTACAGCAGATGTGGGGTGCCCACTGTTTGTCTTGATCACCTAGTTTACAACCGAAATAAAGCTGATATGCCTTTGTTATTAGTGGAGTAATAGACCGTCTCTGAGACGCAAAAGTCACATCACCACACACGTAACAAAACTGACCTGGATTGTTTACACACTTTCGAGACATCTTGCATGAACGCTGTCAACCAACTGTGGAAAAAATGGCTAATATAAAACAATATAATGTACACGTATGTATAACGTAACACAATCATGCCGATTACATCATCTTTCTTTGCCGAATATAAAAATGTAGCACGTGCATTCTTGTGAATTACAGTATATTAACACTGTCACAGCAGGAACACATATAATTACCGTATCTCTAAAACTTGAACTAATATTGAAAAAATAAGTTTCATTCCGGTTTTAGCACATTAAAAATAGTAATATTTTGTTGATTTTATTTAGGATATTTTTTGGCTGTTGATCAGTGTAATTTTACAATCTTGTCTATTAAAACTAAAATTACGTCATAAGGTGATTTTTTAATTTCACCTTAAACATTTTTAAATTCGAACTCTGTTAATGTCATTATTATTTAATAAATTGAATAATGATATCAGAGTTCGAATTTTAGAATGTTTAAGATGAAATTAAAAAATCACTTTCCGAATATTCAAAATACATAGTGACGTAATTTTAATAGACAAGAATGTAAGATTACAGAAAGTGGATTGAAGAAAAATATGTAACCGAATCATTATACAAAATTGACGTTGTAGCATTAATGCTAAATAAATCTTCAACAACAAAACTATTTCGTTGTAAAAGTACCAAAAAAACATATAATTTGATTTTCAGGGCATCGTGACAGAAGCAGAAGTGAAAGACGTAGCCGAGAAATACGACAAAATCTGCGAGGAAGCTTTAGATCGCGCGAAAAAAGAAACGCACATCAAATACAAGGATTGGATCGACAGCCCGTGGTCTGGATTCTTCGAGGGAAAAGACCCGCTGAAATTGAACCCAACCGGTGTTATCGAAGACACGCTCGTCCACATCGGCAAAAGATTCTCTTCGCCGCCACCAAATGCTGCCGACTTCGTCATCCACAGAGGTATGCGCATAGAACAAATTCCAAAATAAGTTTTATTATGTATAATGATCTCGACGTTCATCAATCTAGCAGTCAGATGAAAAGTATGTTATATAATAATAATAATATTTATTCACTCAATGTACAAAGATAACAAACAATATGAGTAAATAAATATAAAATCAAAACAGGCCCAATAGAAGGCATCGCCTGTACATGGACCAATAATTTAAGTTGAAACTGTAGAATGCAAATGACAAAAAGGACAAAAATTAGCTACAGTAGATTATGTATTTAGTTGATGTTCGTATTTATGAGTTTATGAATTTCAGTCTTATATATAGAATGTAGCCACTTTTTTAAATTTATTTTGAAACAATTTCCGAAACGTAAATCTTTTAAGACTTTAGGTATAATTTCATTAAATTTAGGCGCTAAATAGAGATATGATCGCTGCATTATAGATTTATGCGGTTGAGGAACTACTGTGCCACGAATTTTGTACCTGGTATAATGATTATGTTTAATTTTTTGGTCGGTGTTTACAAATTTATGGTAGTGAGTGATACTGTGTAAGAAATAAAGCTGTCTTATATCATACATTCGAACATCTGCGTATAATTTTTCAGTGGGATAAAGTTTCGGTTTTTTAAATATCATTTTTAGAATACTTTTTTGAAAAACATCTAAATTATAGATATGTGAGGAACATGCAGCTCTCCATGCTAATATACCATATGTGAGATGAGGCTCAATCAGTGCATGGTATAATGTTCGAAGATATTTTTCTGTCAATATATTCCCAAGGTATTTAATTTTGTAGGATACAAATCTAACTTTCTTTAAAATATAATTGACATGGATGTCCCATCGTAAGTGAGGATCCAAGACCACTCCAAGGTATTTTATGTTGGGCACTCTATTAATTTGCATTTTTTGATCATTAATATTGAAGGAGAAATTTGTGTAATTTGGCAGATGTCTAGCATAAGATCCAAATGGTAAAAAATGTGTTTTAGAGTAGTTAATGCTTAATTTTCTACTGTTAAACCACCGAATAATTTTGATAAAATCATTTTCAATTACATTTTTCAGATCAGATCAGTCAGTGCCTTCATATAATATTGCAGTATCATCTGCAAAACTAGTTATTTTGCCAACACAATTAATTTGGAAAATATCATTTAAATATATATTGAATAACAGCGGACCTAAGACAGTTCCTTGTGGGACACCACACGTAATATACATTTCTTTACTAAATGATCCTGATATCTGCACAGATTGTGGGCGATTTGACAAATAACCTTCGATCAGTGAGTACGCGTTTCCTCTGAAACCAATTCTCTCCAATGCTTCTAATAATAATTTGTGATTAACTGTGTCGAAAGCTTTCTTTAAATCAACAAAAATGCAGATTGAAGGGATTCTGTTATCAATATTTTGATGTATTTGATTTACAATTTTAGTTATTGCGTCCGATGTAGCCTTCCCTTCTGTAAATCCATATTGATTTTCACTTAAAATTTTGAATTTTGTGAGGTATCGAATCATTCTAGTAGATAAAACTTTTTCAAAAACCTTTGCTACACTGGATATTATTGATATTGGTCTATAGTTGTTAACATCTGTTTTTGTTCCTGATTTATGTATCGGTATTATATTACCTTTTTTTAAAATTGAGGGATATATGCCAGATTCAAAGCATTTGTTGATTAGGTAAGTGAGTGGTTCTGTTATGTCCTCGGCTATAATTTTCAAATGCTCGCTTTTAATACCATCGAACCCAGGACTTTTCCGATTTTTTAAGGACATAACAGTGGTGTATACTTCACATTGCTCGACATTATCCAAAATAAATGAGTTCAAAGTTCTTTTTGGAGGCTGAGTATTTTGTACATTTGCTTGTATATTACTTGCTAAATTTTCGCCTATGTCAGTAAAGAATTGTACAAATTCATCGCATATCTGTTGAGTATTTTTTAATACTGTTCCCGATGTTGTATTTAACTCAGTGACACACTCTTTAACTTTTGTTTTCCCAGTAATCTCATCAATAGTTGTCCAAAGCCGCATAGGATCATTTAAGTTATTATTCAATTTATTTAGGTAATGTTTTCGTTTGGTTTGCCTTGCAAACTCTATAAATTTATTTTTATATTGGTTGTAACAGTCGGTATTCTCTGTAGTTGGCGTTAGTTTCATTACATTATATAGTCTTTCTTTTTCTATTGCCGATGTTATTAATCCTTTGGTAATCCAGGCATTTCTGCTTTTCTCTTTGTGACTAATTATTACTTTATTGGTACTAATATCTATTAGTTTTTTTATTTTCTCTATGAACAGTCCCGTTGCTTTGTCTATATTATTTATAGAGTATAATTGTTTCCAGGATTCTTGTTTGACATTTGATATTAGTTTAGAATTGTCGACAAAAAATTTGTAATTTTCTTGGTTGTTATTAACGGTAGGGATGTTAGAATGTTTTTCATTTGAAGATATCAGTAAAATAGTGGAGAAGTGGTCAGTAATATCGCTTTCTAGGATTATTGGTATACAAGTAATTTTGTTGGATATTAAACTAGCGATTAAAATTGTTGGAGCAATCAAAATTTTGTAATCAATAAATTGGGTTTAACCAAATTCTATATTGTAAAAAATACCTCTGCTTAGTGTGGGAAGGTAAATACAAAGGTTACTATGAAAGTTTTAGAATACAGCTTTATTATTAACTTCGTTCAAAGTAATTTCCATCACATTCAATACACAGAAACAGGATGGGGCAATTGCCCATACATCCAAAGAATCGATGGACACGGTGAAAGCACTTTTTCCTCGAAAAGTTATATCGAAGTTTGAACATGTTCACTGGCCTCCTAGGTCACCCGACCTCATGCGATTATTTTTTGATTCTAAAGGCCCATAGTTTTCATCCGTATAAAATTCACCTGGTACAAGAACTTAATGAAGACGATTTTGATCGGCGATTACAATCTTGTGAAGATATGAATGAACGAATTATAAACGATGAACATTTTCTATTCAACACTTGCTTTTAAGACGAATGTTCCTTTTTCTTAAATGGCGTGGTAAATCGTCATAACTGGCGATATTGGTCCGATTCTAATCCCAGAATTTATCATGAGGTTTATACACAGCAGCCACAAAAATTAAATGTTTGGGCTGGAATTTTTGGCGATCATTTAGTTGGTCCTTTTTTCTTACCTGGAAATTTGGCCGGTGAAATGTATTCGGAATTACTGGAGGACGCCATAGATCCTGCATTAACAGCCATAATTGAAAATCAGAATGATCGGCGGTACATTGCGAATAGGTTGATGTTCCAACAGGATGGTGCCCCACCACATTACGCATAACGTGTTCGACAATATTTAGATTCCAGATCGATGGATTGGTAGAAGAGGTGCCATTGAATGGCCCGCAAGATCGCCAGATTTATCACCTTTGGATTTCTTTATGTGGGGTCATTTAAAAAGCAAAATCTTTAAAATAAGGTATCACTCGACCCCCCTTTCCATTTAAGATTTTGGGGGTGGTGTCACCCCCGCTTAGGGGGCTGCACGTGTGCTAACGTGATTTTTTGCCAAACTTGTGTCCCCCTCGAAAACAAAATCTACGGGTCTGAGCGTTTTTCAAAAAAAAAACTGAGCTGCCAGTAAATGCGTCTGTTTCGTTTTCGATGCGCCACCCTGTATATATTAATGTATCATCAGGAAATAGTTGAATTTTGCAGTGTTGTAAAATATCACGAATATCATTAATATATAAAATAAATAGTATTGGACCTAATTTGCTACCCCGTGGCGAAATGTTTTTAATGTTTGATAATGTATTGCCAATTTTAGTTCTTTGACTTCTATTGATTAAATAACTTTGTAATAAGTTGAAATTTCGTTAACAATTTCTCCCTGTCAATAGTCTCAAAGGCTCTCTTGAAATTTAAGAACAATATAACTGCAAACTTTTTTTCATTAATATTTCGCCTCCATTCTTCTGCTACCGTTTGAATTGCTGTTTCAGTAGAATACTTTTTTCTGAATCCTGCTTGAAATTTTGTCAATATCTTATTTTCTTCAATATGTTCAATGACTTGTTCATATATGATTCCTTCTAAGACCTTTTCGACATCTAGCAGTACATTAATTGGCCGCATGTTTGTATATAACTCAGAATTTTACACTTTTGGAACAGGAGTAATTGTAGAACATTTTAATTTGAAGGAAATTCGCCATACACTAGGATTTATATAAGATTTCAATCTGGTAATAGCTTTTGGAAGATGGCTGATATTTATTGCTTGGAATTGTCTCATAGAAGAATTATAAGTAACTTGCATGTGATAGATTTTTATCCCCATCTTCTTTTGATTCCACTATCTCATTTATACTTTCTATAAAATAAGCGTTCATTCGTTCTGCAATCAATATTTTTTGTGTTACTGTACCATCTTCGAAGCACATTCTTGATAATTCATTCTTCCTACTGGGAGAAACAATATTTTTTAGTGTGTTCCACATCATTTATTGCTATCGATTTTGTTTTCATAATATTTTTTTCTTTTCGTTCCTAAAATTTGTTAAACACTTGTTTCTTGATTTCTAGGAATATTTGTGTAAACCAGAGTGTTCGTTTTTTCTTTTGATATACCACTTTCCTAATTTGTGCGTCTTTCATGCAGTTCTCCATACAATCCATAATGTAGTAGTAGTAGTAGAAAGATTTATTTAGCACATTTGGCAACATAAACAGAACAATTGTAAACAACTTAGAACTAGTAAATTCAAGTCATATGGTGTATGATGTAAATGCTGGGCAACCTATAATTGTAGATTTAACAAGTGATTTCTCAATTTTACTTTAAATTTTGTCAAAGTTTTCTGGTCTTTTATCTCCGAGTATAATTTATTATATTCAATCAACCCTTGATGGAATACAGATTTGTAGCATATGTTATACTTTTTGGTCATTAAATGGAAGTCATCTTTATTTCTGGTATTATGTAAATGATGGTCGACATTTGATGATATTAAATTAGTTAGACTTGATGGAAATATATTATTTTTTACTTTATAAATTACAAGATATTTGATAAAATTTTTTACATTGCGCCATTTTAATTTGCTAAGCATTTGCCTAATTGGAGTATATTTATCTTTATTTAGTATTATTCTCATGCACTTATTTATTAAAATTTGCAATGGAAAATGGAATTATTTGCTAAATATAGAATAGTCGAACAGTACAAGAAATTTGGAAGAATGATGGTATTATAGATAATTTTTCTGCTATATGAACTCAGACATCCAGAAACTCTCGATAAATATCCCACTTTACTACTAATCTTATTTATAACTTTTTCATAATGAATATCAAAAATTAATCGAGAGTCAACAAAAACCCCCAGGTATTTAAAATTTTCTACGAATTCTATATCTTCACCATCAATATTCAGTTGAACATTTGTACATTGTTTTTTTCCGATTAACAAGGCTTTCGTTTTACTTGCATTTAATTTTAGTCTGTTAGATGCTAATCATTTTGAGACAAGCTTCAAGTCTTCATTTATATAAGAGATACCAGACTGAATATTTTTAATACTTATATAAATCATAGTGACATCGGCGAAAATCTGAATTTTGCATTTTTGTACTATGGCAGGTAAATCATTTATGTATAAAATAAAAAGAAGTGGTCCCAGGATACTGCCCTGTGGAACACCCAACATATTTTCAATTTTTGATGAAATAGTGTCATTAACTTTTGTAACTTGCATCCTTTTTAAATAATTTCTAAACCAATCTAAAACACTTCCTGCTATACCATATGCCTTCAATTTACCTAACACAATATTTCTATCAATCGTTTCAGATGCCCTCTTCAAATCCAAAAATACTGCTATGACAACTTCTTCTGAGTCTATGGCTCTTCTCCAATTCTCAGTTACCAACTGGAAAGCCGTTTCTGTGGAATATTTTTTTCGAAAGCCTGCTTGCGCCTCCACTAACATTTTGTTTTCTTCTATAAACTGCATTAGTTGGTCATGCACTATGGACTCTAATAATTTTTCAATGTCTGGTAACACATTTACTGGTCTCATATCGCTGCATCTTTTAGAATTTTTTATTTTGGGAACTGGTGTTATTGTAGAGCATTTCAAATTTTCAGGAAAAGAACTGCTTCTCAGTGAACAATTGATCCAATTTAATACAGGATATCCCAAAATTTCGAAACAGTTTTTCAGCACGTTTTTAGTAGTGATTTCGGCACAGTTGTTATTTGATTTTAAACTGTCTACTTTTTTTCTTAGATAATTCAATGATACGCTGTGAAATTTTGAAAGTGTATGCAACATTTCAGCATGATTAAAAATTTCAGTGATATTGGCTTGTAAGAGCTTAAAGACAACATTCGACGAGAAATGAACGTCACTCCGGAACTCTACAAGAGAGTGTTTCAGAATTTGCGCGCGCTATTAGAGTGTGTCCTAAGAGATGACAAACATTTTTAATATTTAAGAAATAAAACTCGACGAACGTACGAATATGTTGATAGTAATGAATATTTTCTTTTCATCAAGCGTGCATTTTTTTTCTTAAATCGAAAAGTAAACTGTCCCGCGTGTCTTAGAAAAAAAGTGTAAATTGTTGCAGGTATCGAACGTATTTTGAAAACCCGTATGGAACTGGTTGATCAAAGAATCGTCGACTGGGCTCTAGGTGAAGCTATGGCCTTCGGTTCATTGTTGAAAGAAGGTATTCACGTCAGGCTGTCGGGTCAAGATGTCGAGCGCGGTACATTCTCGCACAGACATCACGTTCTGCACCATCAAACCGTTGACAAGGCTACGTACAGGTAAGATATGCAACAATTTGTTAAAATCTGATCTGATTATCGTCATGAAAACCACATAAGTTTCAAAGGTTGCACTTCTATGTAAGAATTAATTTATGTTATAGGTGAAGGGAATAAAGTATTTTTTTATAATTAACAGTTAATAATTAGATAATAATAATGATTTAGCTATCTAATTTGCCTATACAGCAGACGCTCGATAATGTAAACTAATTTAATGCAAGTGTGGTTCACATTAGCGAACGTGATTTATATAATATTTGATTTTTTAAAAGAAACGTTTAATACATACTATTTATAACAAAATAAACAAATATTCTAACAGCGATAAGTATTTTTTTAATTAGAAGAAAAATAATTAACAATTTTTGTCTGCGTAAATTTGCGCTTAGCATTGTCTTCCAATGCCTGCGCCCGTAATTTATGAAGAACTAAAATATCCGTGTATGAAACTTCTTTTCTTTCAGCCCAATCTAAAGCTTCGTTAAAAACTTGTATAGCTTGCGCGTCAGTCACTACACTTCTGACTTCAATGGGATCGTTCTCATCATCCTCACTGTCCATATCCTCCTCCTTATCAGCATCATTCGTCTGCTTATCTTCGTTCCATAAACTAATATCAGCAGGAGTACAAACAATGTTGGGATCCACTGTTTTCAATAAATCAACAAAATCCAATGACACACTAATAACATTATCATTATTGGATCGCAAACGTTCTCTAATTACGCTTAACGGGACATCGTCTTCTTCATCATCTTCATTATTGGTACAAAAGAGTTGTTCCAACATTTTTGAATAGTTTGCTGGTTAAGTTCATTCCAGGCCATATGTAAATCTAAAACAGCTTCTCGTAATGTTACTTTTTTTAAAGCCTCGGATAAGTTTTCAGGATTCTTTGATAAGACAGACGAAAGTAGAAACTTCCTATAGTATAGTTTTTAGGTGCCTTCTCATTTTTTAAAGTTTTTCTTTTTCCCTGACCTCCAAATGTATTGCACGTTCTTTGTAAAATTTGAGTTTTCATACGCTTAATTTTACAGATTGTTGCTTTCGATATTCCATATTTTTTGCTAACTGTGTCACTCCCGCACCTAGTGCAACTTCGTCTATGACTTTCACTTTCTCACTCAACTTTAAACACTTTCTTTTATAGGATGTGGATGCCATAGTCGTAAAATATATTAACGCGTGCAATGTATTCACTTAAGTTCAAAAATGAAATACATACGTACGTATAAACGTATCCTGAACGATCATACGACTGACCGAGTTTGTCGTATTTTATCGCAGAGGTTAATCCCCTACACTCTACATCATAAATCGGGGACTCCCCGACGCCCGACATAAATCATCGAGGCTTCAGCATTTTACCGTCGCGCTGTTTCCGTGCGTCGAGAGTTGTTTACGTTATCGATCGTACACATTGTTTACGTTATCGCGCGTTCCGTTTGATCCCACAGAACGAAGTTTGTGTTTACATTAGCGCAAGTTTTCATTATCCCGTGTTTACGTTATCGAGCGTCTGCTGTAAACCAACAGATAACTCTAATCTTATTTTTTCCTTTAGGCCCCTTTGCAACTTGTACCCCGACCAAGCCCCGTACACGGTCTGCAACAGCTCGCTGTCCGAATACGGCGTGCTTGGTTTCGAAGTGGGCTATTCTTTGACCAACCCGAACGCTTTGGTCATTTGGGAGGCTCAGTTCGGAGACTTCGCGAACACCGCGCAGTGCATCATGGACCAGATCCTGTCGAGCGGTCAAGCCAAGTGGGTCAGGCAGACCGGAATCACGCTTTACTTGCCTCATGGCATGGAAGGTGAGTCACATGATTTCGTAGAATGAAAGTTTATTTTTTAGGTGGACGACTTTGAAACATCGCGATTTTGAACTACAGTGGAACCCCAATAATCCGGCGCCCCCTGTAATCCGACAGTCTTTGAATATTACATACATACGTATTTGACAATCTTCGCTAATGTAGATCACGCAGGTTTGAACAGGTTACAACTTGTACGCGCCGCCGCTATCGTGCTCGACGCGTAAGCATTGTTTTACTTAGTTTGAATTTGACTACTTGTGATAGCGGTACGGCCTAGCGTGCGTTCATTGTTTACTATTTATAAACTCAGAAGCAAAAGCGCAAAACATTGACAATTAAAGAAAAATGTGATATTTTAGACCGCTTAAATCGCAATGAAACATTCAGTAGTTTAGCAAGTGAATACGGCGTAAGCCGATCTACAATCTATAACATTAGAAGAAACCACGAGAAGATCAAGAAGTTCGTGTCAACTACTGATTGCGGGCAGGCAAGGGACAGACACTCAAGAAAGCTGAACATCCAGAAGTGGCAGAAGCTTTCCACATGTGGTTTCTTCAGGAAAGAAATAGGCGTGCACCAATTTCAGGACCCATGTTGGCCATGAAAGCTAAGTTTTTTTGTAAGTAAATAACAAAAAAAGATGATTTTGTGGCCAGCAAAGGATGGCTAGAACGTTTTAAAAGTCGTCATGGTATACGTTTAATGACTGTTACAGGAGAGAAACTTTCTAACGATGTCACCTGCATAGAGCCCTTTAAATTAAGATTTTTGCAAAAGGTGAACGATTTAAATCTTGACCCGTCACAGGTGTACAATACAGACAAATCAGGGCTTTTTTGGCGTGTGATGCCTAACAAAACTTTCGTTTCTTGTAACGAAAAATCCGTACCTGGACGAAAAGTAAGTAAAGAGCGTGTAACCATACTACCATGTGTTAACTCTGCGGGAACACACGTGCTTAAGATGATGGTCATTGGGAAATCTAATAAACCACGGGCATTCAAAAACATTGATTTACCTGTACACTATTACGGACAAAAAAGTGCGTGGATGACAAAAGACCTTTTAAAAAAGTGGTTTGATGAATGCTTCGTTACTGAAGTTACAAAATGGTTAAAAGATCATAATTTTCCTCAAAAAGCGTTGTTGCTTCTTGATAACGCACCCGGAAATCCGTCTGAAGAAGAACTATCAACTGAGGATTAATGCATCACTGCGATGTTTCTTCCGCCAAATCGCACTGCACTGATTCAACCAATGGACCAGAATATAATTCAGTTAGTCAAGCAAGACTACATATAAGAAAAACCTACTTCTGAGAGCCGTATCAAAAGACCAACCAATAGAAAAAACTTTAAAAGAATTTAATATGAAAGACTTGGTTTTTGCTCTTTGTCAGTCGTGGAATGCGTTACCGCCATCGACTAGTAAATCGTCTTGGAAAAAGTTATGGCCAGATATAGTCACCACTCCTAGCAACGTTCCACAAATCAGTGTTACTTCGGAAGTTACAGAACAAGTCGCTACTGAAACACAGATAAGTCCGGAAGATTTGGAAATTTGGTGCCGGGGAATGGATAAAGAGGAAAATGTTTTTCATGAAATGTCTGACGAAGAGATTATAAAAGAGGTTTCTAGTTATACAACAAACAATCAGGAAAATAACGACGACGTGATTGCAACTGCTCCACAAGTCTCAGCACAAGACGCAATTAACGCCTTTGAGCTAGGTTTACAATGGGCTGAAGAGAATGGTACATCCTACATCGAACTTTTACTTTTGAGAAGACTGAGGGACAAAGCGCTGATCTCGCGTTATAACAACCTTAAACAAACAAAATTGATATTTCCAAGCTTCATAATTTAATAAATTCATTAATGATTTTGATGAATAATTCTTGATTATTTTGGTACATATGTATGTGCATTTATGCTTAATTTTATAATAAAACGTAAGCTCTCTATTGTTATTTAATTTACTAAATTCGACATTCATAACATATATAATCTTACCATTGGATATGTAATTTGTCGGATTACAAGGTACTCTTTTGTAAAAAATTCCGGACTATAGGGGGTCTTAGGCAGTGCTCTATAATCCGACAAATTCGATAGTCCGACACTGCCCTGCATAATGTTTGTCGGATTACCGGAGGTCCACTGTATATAGATTATAGTTTAAAAACACGTTTCAATAGGAAAATACGTATAAAAAATTCGAGGCGTCGTATCGAGGGTTCTGTTTTTCATTAGGAGGTACAAACAAGATGGAGGTTTACTAGATTATCCTTATTTTTTTTCTTGCAGGTCAAGGTCCCGAGCATTCGAGTGCCCGTCTGGAACGTTTCCTGCAAATGTCCTCCGACGACCCGGACTATTTCCCTCCGGAAAGCGACGACTTCGCCATCCGCCAGCTGCACGACATCAACTGGATCGTGGCTAACCCCACGACGCCCGCCAATTTGTTCCATATCCTGCGCAGGCAAATCGCGTTGCCGTTCAGAAAACCGCTGATCTTGATGACGCCCAAGAGTCTGCTGAGACATCCTGAGGCTAGAAGCTCTTTCGACGAAATGGTTGATGGTATGTAGATTCTGGAAACTTCGTTACCCGAAAAGTATTCGATGAGATTAGGAGGCAGGCTTAAGATTTATTTAGCGTGACTGCTACGATTACATTCGTTTAAAGAACTAAAACAAAATACAGATAATTAGAAAAACAAAATTTGCATCTCTAAGAATTTTCGTTGTCCTTGAAATATTCCTTTAGTTTTTTAAACATCCTCGGATTTTAAGTACATTATTTAATTTATTACGTAGTCATGCCATAAGTTCTGTCCCTCGTTTTCAAACAAGTGTAGACCTGTTAATACTTGTCCGATTGTTTACATTGTGGTGTCAGTTGATTAAGCGCTTTTCGGGTAATTACATATACCTCAGTTTGTATTGATCTCTCGAAGCATAACGATGGAGTGGGGCAAGGCAGAGAACCGTATTGCAGTGATAGCTTTACATAAGTGTAATCACAGTGCTAGTCAGATTTTTGAACTCTTACGCGGCCTTCAAATATCGCGTAAATTTGTGTCTAGGACCATTCAGCGGTACAATGAGACGTCCTCTGTTGATGACAGGCCAAGAAGCGGAAGACCTCGTCAAGTAAGGACTCCAGCAGCCATCAAAGCCGTAAAAGCCAGGATTCAAAGGAATCCACTCCGGAAGCAGAAGATCCTATCCAGGGAAATGAAGATTCCTGTCCGGACGATGTCGCGCATCATTAAACAAGACCTAGGGCTAGGGGCTTACCGGAGACGTACGGGCCAGCGACTTACGGCCACCTTGCGACACATCAGGGCGACAAGATCCAAGAAGCTCTTGGAGAGGTACGCAGCTGGGGGATTCCGAAAGATTTTGTTCACGGATGAGAAAATCTTCACCATAGAAGAAAAATTCAACCGACAAAATGACAAAGTGTATGCAAGGAGTTCACAGGAAGCTTCGGAGATCATTCCGAGAGTTGAGAGAGGCCACCACCCTGCGTCAGTCATGGTTTGGTGGGGGGTGTCCTACGAAGGGGTCACTCAGCTCCATTTCTGTAAACAGGGCGTGAAAACAAAAGCGGCAAACTATCAGAGCGACATACTGGATCCTATCGTCAAGCCTTTAAGTGGTACATTGTTTGCCAACCAACACTGGGTCTACCAGCAGGATTCCGCCCCCGCTCACAAGGCTAAGAGTACGCAGCGCTGGCTGGAAAGCAATGTGCCAGAGTTCATTGCTGCGGAAGATTGGCCCTCAGGGAGTCCGGACCTCAATCCTTTAGACTACAAGTTGTGGGACCTGCTAGAGCAGTTGGCCTGCTCCAAAGCCCACCGTAATATCGAGTCCCTGAAAGCGGATTTGATCCGATCAGCGGCAGCTATTCCTTTGGAAGCTGTGCGTGCAGTGATAGATGAGTGGCCCGCGAGATTGAAGCAGTGTGTGAAGGCCAAGGGGGGACATTTTGAATAAAACTGTTTGATTATGAATTCTAAAAATGTTGTCGAATAAATAATATCTTTCATATAAATATATCTTATCTTGTTTCATTTTTATCATGAGATTATCATGGGACAGAACTTATGGCACGACTACGTAAATTCAAGTGATACTTTCTGAAATATTGATTTGCGATTTTGTAAATGAAAATCTATATTTCCTCTAATATACAGGGTGGCGGGAAATACATGCGGAGCCGTTGGGGTGAGATAGTACAAGCCAATCTGTGTCGATTTTACTATCGGAACTACTGTCTGAAAATTAGCCGTTTTCGAATTACAGCAGACGCTCGATAATGTAAACTAATTTAATCCAAGTGTGGTTCACATTATCGAAATGTTTACATTAGCGAACGTGATTTATATAATATTTGATGTATTAAAAGAAACGTTTAATACATACTATTTATAACAAAATAAACAAATATTCTAACAGCGATAAGTATTTTTTTAATTAGAAGAAAAATAATTAACAATTTTTGTCTGCGTAAATTTGCGCTTAGCATTGTCTTCCGATGCCTGCGCCCGTAATTTACGAAGAACTAAAATATCCGTGTATGAAACTTCTTTTCTTTCAGCCCAATCTAAACCTTGGTTAAAAACTTGTATAGCTTGCGCGTCAGTCACTACACTTCTGACTTCAATGAGATCGTTCTCATCAACCTCACTGTCCATATCCTCCTCCTTATCAGCATCATTCGTCTGCTTATCTTCGTTCCATAAATTAATATCAGCAGGAGTACAAACAATGTTGGGATTCACTGTTTTCAATAAATCAACAACATCCAATGACACTAATAACATTATCATTATTGGATCGCAAACGTTCTCTAATTACGCTCAAGGGGACATCGTCTTCTTCATCATCTTCATTATTGGTACAAAAGAGATTGTTCCAACATTTTTGAATAGTTTGCTGATTAAGTTCATTCCAGGCCATATGTAAATCTAAAACAGTTTCTCGTAATGTTACTTTTTTTAAAGCCTCAGATAAGTTTTCAGGATTCCTTGATAAGACAGACGAAAGTAGAAACTTCCTATAGTATAGTTTGGTGAGTCTTATTATATTCTGGTCCATCGGTTGAATTAACGGTGTTACGTTGGGCGGCATGTACATGACGAAAATTGAGCCATCCCTGCTCCTCAGTTGTTGCTCGGGAGGATGACTTGGTGCATTATCCAATAGTAACAACGCTTTTATTGGAAGCTTCTGTTGTTTTAGGAAACCTTTTACTTACAAATTGATGAACACATCTTCAAATTATGAATAGAGCATTTGTGATAATTGATTGTCATACCTGAGGGACAAAGCACCTGTGGAACCATTTCAGGAATATACTGCTAGTCATCCAAGCGGTTTTTGAACAGTCATAATCAACAGGGACATTAACATTTTTAAATGAGCGCGGATTTTTTGCTTTCCCAATTACCAGTGGCTGTATTTTGTGTGAACCATTAGCATTAATGCAGGCTAGAAACGTTATTCGTTGTTTCTCCGGCTTTCTTCCCGGGGCAGATTTTTCAAATGATGCAGCATTTTCCAATAAAGGCCACTTTCATCTGCGTTGTAAATTTGTTCCATTCTTAAATCTAGCTCGGTAATTGTTTTAATCAATTTTTCTTTGAATGGTTGCACTAATTGTGGTTGGGCTGATAATTTTTCACCAGATATAGACAGCAGTCGAATTCCATATCTTGTTTTGAATCGTTGTAGTCAGCCATCACTAGCTACGAAATTTTCAGTTTCTTTCAGTTTTTCATTTAACAGTCTCGCTCTCTGTTTAAGTACTTCGCCACTAACTGGGACATGATTTTCCCGTTGTTTTAAAAACCACTTATACAGGGAATTTTCCATTTTAGGTGCCTTCGCGTTTTTTAAAGTTCTTCTTGCAGCATAAGTTGATAATTTTCTTATGATTTTGAAGGCACCGAGTTTAAAAGGATCATCCCAGACGCCGGCCCGGCTTCAGAAAATCCCGACGGCGTCCAGAAACTGATCTTCTGTACCGGAAAAGTTTACTTCGACGTCAAAAAAGCGATCATCGGAAAGAATTTGGAATCGAAGATTGCGCTTACCAGAGTTGAACAGGTAAATCGAAAAATCATGTTGGATATTTTAAAGAAAGATCCGTTTTGTGATGAAGCCTTGGGGGGCGATATGAGTGTTGGCAAATATTTTTGTTTGTTTGTTTAAGATTTATGTGTTTAAAAAAATCTATAACTTTTCGATATCATACAGTTATTTAGAAAAACAAAAATTGCAGCTCTTAGAATTTTCACTGTCGATAAAACGTTCCTTTAATTTTCTTTTGAACATCTTTAGGTTACAAGTAGTCATAACTTAGTTTATTAAATTCAAGTGATACCTTCTGAAATATTGATTTGATTGTTATATTACCGTTATAATATAGCAAAATATAATTTTTTATTTTAAATATAAAAACCATGCGTTATTCATATTCAACCACTGCAATTCTTGTAACATCGATTTTATTTTCGTGTACTTATTTTTTATTCAATATTTTTCCCATTGCTTTACTTTGTAGAATTTCGAGAATACAGCTTCTTTGACAGTTAGCAAAAAACTTCAACACCACAGTAAATGCGGTAGAATAATTGTATTATAAATATATTTTTCTTTTAATATGTACGAATCGAAAAAGTAATTTATTTTTTGGCAAATTTTGAAATCGCCCTGAAACTTCAGTTTACTGTCAATATACAGGGTGTCCCAGAAGTCGACGTCAAGCCGAAACCGGGTGATAGGCAAAGTCATAACAGCTATCAGAAAAATATTTAAAAAAATTTTATGTATGTGTTTTGAAAATTATAGGTCTTAGAAAAAAATATAGAAATTTCACACCCTACGGCAGTCTGTCAACTCCTTTTACTACAAATATTAACTTTTTTCGGATTTTATTTTTACAATGTAATGATGAATAATGCATCTTCAAACTGGTGTCTCAACCTTACTGCCAACTTTTCTCGTTCAGGAAAAATTGCCACTTATTTCCCAACCAAGTATTCCAAAGTAAAACTTTGCTCAACTTTAACTGGCTGTACTGGAAAAAAATGTACTACGAGAGTTTGGCAAGTAACCTTAAAAGTTGGCGCATTTAATAACGATTCCAAAATGGTATAACACTTAGAAGATTACTCGTTAACTTATGCACAATTTTTATTTGAAAAAAAAAACTGATGAAAATTTTTCAAAATTTCCTAAATAAACAGCGATTATGAAAACGCACAAGGACCCTTAAGGATAACTGTTTGCACAACAGTGGGCGTCAAAATCCTGCTGATGATGATTTACCTTTACAGCAAATGCTCAAACTGTTTTCCTTCAGCCGCAATACACGCTCGACATCTTCTTAAAAAAGATCGGGTTATTAAACGAGCGAATCCACGGTTATTAACCAACTCAGCTGCTTCTTTGCCGTAGCTCAGCTACATTTTGAATCGGCTTGAAATACACTTTTTCTTTTACAGTTCCCCAGTAAAAAAATCTAAAGGATTCAAATCAGGTGATCGGGCTGGCCACGGTATTGTACCAGACCGCCTTATCCATCTGCCCGGAAAGTTTTGATCGAGATACTCTCTCACTGAGAGTGCATAGTGCGCTGGGCAGCCATCATGCTGAAACCACATGTCCCTGTAAATACTCAGTGGCACGTCCACCAATAAATTTTCAAAAAATCCAAATAAACTTCAGCAGTCAAAGTCTCTGGGAACTCAAACGGACCGATTATTTTACCATTTAAAATTCCTGTCCAATGGTTTATCTTGAAGCGATATTGAGATTTATCTTTCCTCATCAAATGTGGGTTTGCTACGTGCCACTCGTGTAAGTTATGCAGGTTCATGTACCCATCTTTCTTAAATGTGGTCTCATCCGACCATAAATTTTTTTCAAAGAACTGGATCTTTCCTGTGTCTTTCTAACATTGTGCGACAAAAAGCAACTCGGGGCTCATAATCCCGGGGCAGGAGAGGTTGAATACGCTGTATGTGGTATGGATTCGCTCGTTTAATAACCCGATCTTTTTTAAGATGTCGAGCGTGTATTGCGGCTGAAGGAAAACTGTTTGAGCATTTGCTGTAAAGGTAAATCATCATCAGCAGCATTTTGACGCCCACTGTTGTGCAAACAGTTATCCTTAAGGGTCCTTGTGCGTTTTCATAATCGCTGTTTAATTAGGAAATTTTGAAAGATGTTCATCAGTTTTTTTTCAAATAAAAATTATGCATAAGTTAACGAGTAATCTTCTAAGTGTTATACCATTTTGGAATCGTTATTAAATGCGCCAACGTTTAAGGTTACTTGCCAAACTCTCGTAGTACATTTTTTTCCAGTACAGCCAGTTAAAGTTGAGCAAAGTTTAACTTTGGAATACTTGGTTGGGAAATAAGTGGCAATTTTTCCTGAACGAGAAAAGTTGGCAGTAAGGTTGAGACACCAGTTTGAAGATGCATTATTCATCATTACATTGTAAAAATAAAATCCAAAAAAAGTTAATATTTGTAGTAACAGGAGCTGACAGACTGCCGTAGGGTGTGAAATTTCTATATTTTTTTCAAAGACCTATAATTTTCAAAACACATACATACATTTTTTTATATATATTTTTCTGATAGCTGTTATGACTTTGCCTATCACCCGGTTTCAGCTTGACGTCGACTTCTGGGACACCCTGTATATACATTTTCAATTATTTTGCCATTTACCCTAACTGTGCTACTATTTTGATTTAAGTGATTCCCTACTAGCATACATTTTATTTTTGAAGCATTCAAATTTTGGCTTATTTCTATTCTAATTTATGTTTTGTTTTAAATCAGAATTTAGCGTCAGTATCTATATGTTCATCTGATATGTACAGTAATGGACAAAAGTATGTATACAAATTGATATTGGGTTGTATTTCTTTTTTAACTTGTTTTATTAATATACCAACCTTTATACATAATTCGTTATAGCATAATACTTATACATAAATAAATTCATTAGACTCCCTTCAATAAAAAAATTAATTGAAAACAACTGGAACTATGAAGGACAAAAATATATAGACAAAGCAAAACAATTATAGAAAAAAGAAGCAAAGTTCATTGAATTATAGAAAACCAACCATGTTTGTGTTAATATTTTGTAGCATAACCATTATTATTAGTCACCGTCAGGCATCGATTGTAGAAGTTTCTTGATATAAGATTCATCAATCTGTCTCCACTTTTGCTCTAAAGCGGCGAAAGTTCATCCTTGTTCGAATCATTTTTATCTCGTATTTGCTTATCTAAGTATTCCCATAGATTTTCGATGGGGTTTATATCGGGAGACTGTGAAGGCCATTTGAGAACTGGTATTTTTTCATCCAGAAAGAATTTCTTTGCGAGATTTGAAGTGTGCTTCGGGTCATGATCTTGCTGGAAGATTGATCTTAAGGGCATATTTGTTTTCCATATAGGGTAACATGACACATAGTGCCATCTATTCTATGTAAAGGTCTCATCCTAAACCCCGAAAAGCACCCTCAGACTAGAGACTACAGGCTTCCAAGATACCTTTTTGTTTATATTTGTTCAATATTGCCCAAACTACTTTACGCTTCAGCTTCAAATTTTTGGCAATGTCGCCTTGACGTTGACCATCTTTGTATAACTCAATGATCTTAGTACAATACTTGATGAATACAAACTAACCCTCTTCTGACACGAAACTGTACTAAACTAATGTTGAAAAGAATTTGTCTATATATTTTTGTCCCTCGTAAAAAAGTGCTTAAATTCAGACTTGTATTGTGTTCATTGCAGATAATGTAAAAACAAGGAATTTAGTTTTTCTACTAATAACGCATTTGTTTATGGAGCAATGAAGTGTGAATTAGTTTTCTAAAGGTATTTAGGTAAATGTTCATATTTGTCTATATACTTTTGTCCATTACCGTAGGTGTTAACCTTTTTTGGTTAGTTTTATGCTGGGTGCGAAATGCGTTTCCTATAGACATGAAATCTAAAATGGGTAGGTCATTGCGCTGCTTAAAGAAAGGAAGGAAGCTAGGAAGCAGACGAGGTTAAAAAGTGGCCCCAAATAAAAAAATAAAGCATATCTTATTTATTTTTCAGCTTACGCCGTTCCCGTTCGATCTGATAAAGGCCGAATGTTCCAAATACGCGAACGCCAGCGTGGCCTGGTGTCAAGAAGAACACAAGAACCAAGGAGCATGGACATATGTCCAGCCCAGGTTCGAAACTACCACATCTGGACAGAAACATGTCGCGTAAGTTATCCTATTTTTTATTTTGGGGGTGTAAAAGATAGATAACTTTAACAGAGATTGTGATAGATTTAAGTCTTCCTTATTTGAAAGAGAAAGCTGTTCTAACACTTTCAAATGCCTGGTGTTCCAAATTGACAAAGGAGTTTATACAAATCGTATTTCCTTTTCGTCGCAAAGAACTTGGTGAAAATTATATAAAACTACATTATTGATTGAGGACAATTATATACATTTTTTCGCTACAAGAAGAGCAACTAGTAAGATTGAGGGCAAATTATTTTTTTTATTAAATTTATATTTTCGCTTCAATCAAAAAAATGAATAAAATTGGACCAGTTGCATTGTCTTGAAGCAGAAAAATGTGTATAGGTGAAGATATGATTTTTCTGATAATAGCATTGTTTCGAAAAGTTTTAGTTCGCCTAAACCAAAGGGTTGGTTTGGTAAAATGTTCGGCAAAAAAGAGCCCGCGATCGAACCAAGTGAACAAAATGTTGACGAGGGCAGGCATATTAGGTGAGAGACTGGCCAAAGAAGTCATATCTTCACAAGTATTTTGCATGCGGTAGTTATTAGTGTTTCGGTTGGTGTTGGTTTGCTTGCAATTTTTACAGCTTCATATGTTGAGGTCTACTTGTAGACATGCTTGGTTATCTTATGTTTCTATCTTAATTAACTTAATTTCACCAATTATTTGAGAAATGATTTCCTTCATCTTCTACATACTGTTTGAAGAGACTCTATCCTTGAGAAATCCCCATAAAAGTGCCACAAATATTTCCACAATTCTGAAGCGTTCTTTAGTCACAAAACGATGCACAATGAAATTCTTCAATCTCTGAATGCGCGTTTTAAAACAATGCCGTCAGATGCAAGTCCCGAAGTACTGAGATATGGTTGACACTCCAGTTCCATCGAGAAGTTCGAATGTGATGTGAAGTTACACTGTTGTGACTGTAACGTTTTCTCACATTCCAGATTCATGAAAAATACACATACAAGCACAAGTAGTCAAAATTGCTTGTTTAGTCGTTACTGCTCGCCTAAAACATTGATTGAGGTTTTCTCGAAGAAGACTCCCAACCTCACTTGACTATCGATGTTAATAAGACAAAAGTTATGATTTAAATGCTTCCTTGATTATATAAATTACTTAAAAATTCTTCGACGGCATAAAGATCTGTATTCTTTGTAAACGATGCTTAGAAATATCTGACTTATGCATATTACGGTATTGTAACTATGTACATCAGTGCTGTCCAACTTAATGTGGCCCAAGGGCCACTTCAAAAAAAAATAATGCAGTTTGGAGGGCCGCATTATAAAATCTTTCTATACAACATTATTACTGAGTTTTAATAGGTATATGCATATTCGGTATTTGAGAATAATTTATACTTGTGATGTATACATGACCCGTGAAGCGGGCCGCATGACCTTTAAAATAAGGTATCACTCGACCCCCCTTTCCATTTAAGATTTTGGGGGTGGTGTCACCCCCGCTTAGGGGGCTGCACGTGCTAACGTGATTTTTTGCCAAACTTGTGTCCCCCTCGAAAACAAAATCGACGGGTCTAAGCGTTTTTCAAAAAAAAAAGTTAGCTACCAGTCTGCGTCTGTTTCGTTTTTGATGCGCCACCCTGTATATATACTAAGTGACATATAAATCCGAACACCCAGTTTAAATGGTTTTATTTTAATAAAAGTTGGTGAATGTATTTATCTTACTGTAAATAACAAGTGAAAAAATTTTCAGCCTTATCAGTTGGACATTCCGGTTTTTATACTGCTTTTTTTTTAATTCACTAACGCTCTAAAAATGAATATTTCAGCCGCAGTAAAGAATCAACGTTGGCGGATTTTGGTTCTTGACATCCTTTACGATCGGTTACGATGCCTAGAGTACGGAGACCTGTACGATTTCGTCAACTTAGTGAGTTTGATAGGGGCCGTATAGTGGGACTTCGGGAAGCTGGACTTTCTTTTCGGGCAATTGCAGTTAGAGTGCAAAGAAGTGTAGACACTGTGGTTAGGTGTTGTCAGGCATAAGTTTATTGGCCTTAAGGGACCGTTTCTCCACTACCAGGTCCATTGCAAATGAATGGTTTGCAGAACACGGAAGACCTATTGGCATGCGAAGGGTTTACCGACGAATGAGAAGTTTTGGCTTGTTTTCATACCGGCCACACTGGGTCCTCCCTTTAACTCGAGAACACCGACGTAATCGCCTTGAGTGGTACAGACAATGGTCACTCTGGGATCAGGAATGGAACAGTATTGTCTTTAGTGACGAGTCTCGATTTTGTTTAGGCATGCACGATGGTCGTGCCAGGGTTAGAAGGCGGCGTGGTGAAAGGAGGAATCCACAGTTTTTTGTTGAAAGACATGTTCATCACACTGTTGGAGTTATGGTTTGGGGTGCTATAGCTTATGGTTCCAGGTCACCTTTAATCTTCATCAGAGGTAACATGAACGCGCAGCGTTATATCCACGAAGTTCTAGAACCCCATCTTTTACCCTATCTTGACACCCTGGCAGATCCAAGTTTCCAACAAAATAATGCCCGACCACATGTTGCAAGAGTCACAATAGACTTCTTTCAGCATAATGATGTCACATTGTTACCATGGCCACCAAGATCTCCCGACTTATTCCCAATTGAGCACGTGTGGGATATGATGGGTAGGAGATTGCTCAATTTGCAACGTCCTCCTCAGACTCTAGAAGCACTTCGAGAGGAGTTGGTGGTTGCCTGGAATGAGATACCACAGGAGGACATTGACCACCTGATCAGAAGCATGCCTAGGCGCGTTGGAGAATGCGTAGCACATCAGGGTGCATCCACACATTATTAAAGGTCAAAGGGCTTTAAAGCAGTGCAATCATTTTGAAATTTTTATCATTTACTTATTATGCTTCACTAAGTACTTATACAAAATTTTATTAAAATAAAACCATTTAAACTGGGTGTTCGGATTTATATGTCACTTAGTATACAATATTCGCAGAGAAAAGTAGATCATCGATTTGCTACTACAGAGCATTATTGTGTCATCTGCAAACAGTATAAGGTTTTTGTTTGCATTAGAATTAGGAAGGTGATTTATGTACATTAAGAATAAATGTAGACCCAGCACAGAACCCTGTGGGACGCCACATGAAACTGAAGGTAGTGTTGTTGCTGCTGTCTGTTGCTCAAAACTAGGATCCCAGTAATTCCCCTAGAAGTAGTAAAAATACTTCATTTTCCTTTTGTTGTACATTCTTTCCGTTCTAAGGGAAAATCACCTTTGAACTTTCTTAATGAGATATAGCTACGTTGGCGCCTAAAGCCGTTGATCCACACGCATATAATTGTCAGCACAAATGGACGGATTTCAATAGGCTTGGGTATCTTCTGCTGGAGAATGTTAATCGATGTTGATAGTCTAAACCGAAAAAATACAGTCTAACGCTTTATATTATTTTTTTCCAGTTACATTGGTAGACCAGTCGCCGCGAGTACAGCAACCGGCAGCAAGGTTCAATACTTGAAGGAGCTTAACGCCTTCCTTGAAGACGCTACAAGTTTGTAAGTCATCCAAGTTGGCGATACTTCAAACGAACTCTCTCACCTGCTAGAGTTAGATAAATATTTTTGCACCAAAAAAAACGCAAAACCTCTATAATACCTTGACGATTTTAACGAAGTTCAGTTCGAGTGTATATTTTGATGTTTTTCTTTGAAAATAATGTATCGTAGATGTCTTGCGTTTTGAAGTCCCCTCTTCACAATGGTCCAGGTTGTGTCACCGCACCGCCACCTTTGTTACGAATAATACGCTGCACAAGTTGCACAAATCTTCGTGAACCTACACCGCAAAGATACGACACAAAAATGAGTATAACCTCGACGGACAGTCCTCCAGGTTTCAAGTGGACATAGAAGTTGAGGCCTGCAACATCGAGCCTTATTTTTGCACGTGCCCTTTCAAAACGTTGTATGAGTTGATTCCTGATAAGATACCGTTTTCCCCTCCAAAAGAAATAGGATTTGTCGAACTCTGTGTCGGCGATGACTTCCTCGTTTGAGCTAATTTTTTTCACCGCGAGCCATTTCTTCATGTCAGGGAACAAGAGAAAATCGCAGGGGGCCAGATCGGGTGAATACGGGGGGTGCGGCAGCACTTCATGACGCAATTCATGCAGTTTGGCGGCGACAACTCCGGATGAATATGGTGGCGCGTTATCGTAGTGAAAACGCGAATTACGGAACGATACTGTTCTTTTTCCATCTTACAGAAAATCACGAGACACGAATGGCTACCAAATCCAAACTAACCTATCATTCAGCCTGAAATTTGTTGTGCCGTCGCTTGATAGATGGCCGCTTAGGAACGCCATCTGTCGTCAAACGCGCGTACTTACTGAACGTATCTCTAGTCTTCGTGGTTACTTCATCTGTCAGTTGTCAAATGAAAGATTGCCAAGTACATCGGCGATGACGTATACCGGTCCATAGTGAAGAGTCAAACTCGAAACAATCAGCACCAAAATCGTAAAACTTATGTAATTATGTACATAGCAGCATATATAGTACATTTAGTGAACGTTTATTTCGAAAGTAAAAAGCCGATTGTATGACGCGTATTGCGAGACCAGTTGCAATTTATAAATGTGTAATAAAATTTATCTGTGTATCTTGTGAAATGTGATATGCGACGCCGTTAAGGTTAAACGGATAATTTAAGTAGTTGAAATCGATTAAAAAGTTCAAGCGCAACTGGTCCATGAGAGAGACTAACTTTGTAAAAGCAGTTAGGCATTTTAAAGTATTTTAAATTAATAATGTTATTTATTTGTGTATGTATGAGATGAAATGGATGGAATGAAACTGTTACTCCATATCAGTTGTCTTTTTTTTTCACCTCCTTTTTTACAACACCAAATACCGTCTTCCTCAACATTACAATTAATTTATTTCAAAATCAACTGCATCACAAAAAAATGTTAAAATTGGATATACAACTAGACAAGAAATGAGTGTAATGGGAACTAACATATCACACGGTGTAGATTTTCCGATTTTTTATTAAAGCCTATAATTTGAAAAGTACACGACTTGACGTCGACTTTGGGACATCCTGTATAGGAGCCAACATATGGAAGAATCAATCCATCCTAACTTTTTTAGGGCACGGGTTCCATTAAAACAAAAACACAGTTTTTGTTAACTTTAATAAAAATCAACATTGGATATAGCGAATCTTCCGATTCCAACTGAATGATCACGTGGTTGATATTGTCAACGTTTCTACTCGCTAAAATTATTGCATTTTACATTGAGGCCTAGGCGGATATTTGGCCGTCAAATTCCTTAAAATTATATGATACTGTTTGGTATTGGCTTGTACGAAGCTTTCGCGCCATTTTTCTTCCTTCGTCTTGGTTTTCTTCATGCCTGGCCAGTGGACCAGGAAAGCACCGTCCAAGATCACGAATTTGTAACCGACAAGGCACATTTCGAGCATCTAAAATTCAAAAAGAATACACATATCAATACGTCATAAGTACTGAGTGAATCTACTTGACGACAACCATCATATACGAAGTAAGACAAATTAAACAGGTAAGTCATCATTTACACAAGCGTCGCAGAACGCTAAATCCAAAATATCTAAATATTACAAAAATATAATTTCATAAATATTGAAAACCGCGCATGCAGATTTCGCAAATTTTGAGAAATGTAATAAAACTGTTTCAACCTATTATGAAATTTAAATGTTAAACCCTTGAATGCTACGTTAGTAGACCCTTATAAAACGGGAATAAATAACGTACTTGTAACATTTTGTCTTGCAAGCCTTCCCAGGACAAAAGCTCATTGTAGGGTGGCTCGTTTTTAGTGCCAATGTAGATAGGTTCCCATCTGTGATAAGGCACTTCCCTTTTTACTGTTATAAAAGGCTGAAAATACGAAAAATGAAAATCCAGACACTCTTCTTTAAAATATATCCCGAGTGATGACAATTTTAATCCTCGTACGTCGGAAAATTTCAGTAGATAGGGTTGCAAATAAATCATGATTTTTTTTTCGAAAAAATAACAAAAATAAGATTTTTTCTTTAAATATGTATAAAGAACTTTGAAATAATATATTTTCATTATTTTTTCTATTTAGCCAAAAATATTTATTGTTTAGATTTATTTATAGTAAGAAAATCCCCGCGTCGCAAAAGAACTACTCCCCTAATATTTTAATTCCTGGCGAAACGTACGTAATATATATATATATTTTGAGACGTGGTCATTGTCGTCTAGACCAGTTAGGTGAAAAATTAAAGCTTCCGCCTTTTGTTGGATACTTCGACAAAATTTAAGCAAAGAGGACTCTTTATACTTTTTTAATTCTCTCTAGCTTTCAATGGACTTTGCCATCATCATCAGGAGCTGCAATTACAATGATAACAGTAGCAACAAAAGTGTAAAATGAATTTAAATTGACTCAACTTACAGTAGTATGTGAGGATGTTGTTTACGTATAGGATGAGGGGAAACGTCCAGTAACATGGTGAGAGCTGGATAGATGGTACAATGGTCAAAATTATATAAAATATGACAAGAACAAGTTAAAAATAGATTAAAAATTATTTAAAAAACACTGACAACCTTCGGCCTTCTGTCAAGGGGTTCATCTCACTCATTATTCCATGACCACCATTTTGTGCAATCATCAAGTGGCTTCACGATGTAATGCTCTAATATTTTTTAAATAATTTTTAATCTGTTTTTAACTTGTTCTTGTCATATTTTATATAATTTTGACCATTGTACCATCTATCCAGCTCTCACCATGTTACTGGACGTTTCCCTCATCCTATACGTAAACAACAATTAGCAACATCCTCACATACTACTGTAAGTTGAGTCAATTTAAATTCATTTTACACTTTTGTTGCTACTGTTATCATTGTAATTGCAGCTCCTGATGATGATGGCAAAGTCCATTGAAAGCTAGAGAGAATTAAAAAGGTATAAAGAGTCCTCTTTGCTTAAATTTTGTCGAAGTATCCAACAAAAGGCGGAAGCTTTAATTTTTCACCATATATATATATATATATATATATATACAGGGTGACTTCGAAGTTGAGTCATTTATTTTAACAGTGAATAGATCTGATCAAAAGAAATGTTTTTTCCTTTACCATTTTTCTGGTAAAATTAAAGTAACAAAGTTATAGCCCTTTGGAAGTTTGAGTACCGCCCTGTCTCAATATCATGTGCTCGTGTTTGGCAACAACGGATATAATCCGCCTTACCGGTTCATCGCATCGGAAACAAAAAAGCGAAAGAATTTGGAACGATGTTTGTGTACAGTTTATTATTTTATTCAGTTCAGTTATACATACAGTCAGTGTCAGTGTCGCGTGTGAATAGTGTCTGTTGCGTGGCTCAAACGAAATAAAAAATGGCACATGTTTATGCGGATCGGTTTCCCAATCGAGTGCAACCAACCCCTCGTGCCTTTGTTAATGTAGTACAACGGGCTCGTGAATCAGGTGACTTAAGACCTCACAGGGGACCTCACGATCAAATACAGGTCCGCACTGAAATACTTGTCGGGAGGATACTTTATAAAACAAGGTAAAAATTTTTTTTTAATTTTTTTTTATTTTTACACACATATTTTGGTTTAATTAATGACTCAACTTCAAAGTCACCCTGTATATATATATATATATTGTATCATCAGCAAATAGTTTAATTTTGCAGTGTTTTAAAATATCAGGAATATCGATAATAATATAAAATAAATAGTAATGGGCCTAATTTGATACCTGTGGCACACCTACCGAAATGTTTATGTTTGATAATGTGTTGCCAATTTTAGTTCTTTGACTTCTATTGATTAAATAATTTTGTAATAAGTTGAATACTGAACTTTGAAATCCATAGCAATGCAATTTCGTTAACAATTTCTTGTCCACAAAAAAGTCAGAAGATTTAAATTTCGCCGCGTTCTGGCGTAAATTTCGAGTTTATTTTTTTTATACTTCCACACACAAAATTTTCTACCTCCAGTGGTTTAATCATACGCTTACTTTGACGGCATCTCCAGGATCTGTAACCATCCAAGCTGCAATGTTCGGGAATTTTTGACAGTGTGTACATATGTAACGATGAAAATACACCGCCTTTTCATCCTTAGCTAATTGTATCAACTCTTTCTTTGTCCGCGGTATCTCTACAGTACTCTCCACTTCGAAGATCGGTAACACGTACACCCTGAAAAAAAATGCATTCTAAGAGCGAGAAGTTTTTTAAATACTAGATCAAGTGCCAAAAACCAAACCTAATTTTGTTATTGATTAAAGAAATATACGGAAAATAGCTGAGCTAGCTTTACTTTCTCCTCCCTGCATCCTCTCGCCTCCCCAATGTTTAACCCCTGCAAAAAAAATCCAAAAATCATCAGGATCGTCTGAAACACAACAATACGAAGTTCGTGCGATTTTTTTTTTGTTTTTGGCACCGGGTCCCGAATTCCTCTCTACGGCCCTGAAAACATTATTAATTATTATGGATTCTGCAATCGTTACCTGTCTACAATATCGGTTAGCTTGTATGTCTCTTTCATAGCGAGGAACTTTCTCGCGAGCCCTTCGCTCGGCATAAGTTGTATGTCAGAAACCAAAACGTCATTCGTGATGGCTGCCGAGCGAGCCGCGTTTCGGCATACGTTGATTGGATAGGTGCTTCTTTTTACTGCATTTCTACAAAGAAATCGAAAAGGATGGTTTCAACTTCATCTTAATCAGAGAGTATGGATACATCAAAATATCTCGAAAAATAAGTATCGTGGAGAAAACCTAGTATAAAGTTGTAAGGTTCCTGGAACGATGACCTTGAACGTGACTCTATGACCTTCAAGTTTATATTAAGGTCAAAGCGGCTTTCTTAAATGGAAACGTCCATCTTCCTGTATAATGTATAACTAAGTTGTGAGGTTTGAAAAGGATGATCTAATTATGACCTTGAACGTGAGGTCATTCAAGGTCATTTGAAGATCAAGACAATTTTTTAAACGGGAACAACTATTTTTGACTCGGAAAATGTAAAGAGCAGAAACCTTTATGTTCAACTTCATCTTAATCAGAGAGTATGGATACATCAAAATATCTCGAAAAATACGTATCGTAGAGAAAAACTAGTATAAAGTTGGAAGGTCCGTGGAACGATGACCTTGAACGTGACTCTATGACCTTCAAGTTTATTTCAAGGTCAAAGCGGCTTTCTTAAATGGAAACGTCCATTTTCCTGTATAATGTATAACTAAGTTGTGAGGTTTGAAAAGGATGACCTAATTATGACCTTGAACGTGAGGTCATTCAAGGTCATTTGAAGATCAATACAATTTTTTAAACAGGAACAACTATTTTTGACTCCGAAAATGTAAAGAGCAGAAACCTTTATGTTCAACTTCATCTTATTCAGAGAGTATGGATACATCAAAATATCTCGAAAAATACGTATCGTAGAGAAAACCTAGTATAAAGTTGAAAGGTTCCTGGAACGATGACCTTGAACGTGACTCTATGACCTTCAAGTTTACTTTAAGGTCAAAGCGGCTTAAATGGAAACGTCCATCTTCCTGTATAATGTATAACTAAGTTGTGAGGTTTGAAAAGGATGACCTAATTATGACCTTGAACGTGAGGTCATTCAAGATCATTTGAAGATCAAGACAATTTTTTAAACAGGAACAACTATTTTTGACTCCGAAAATGTAAAGAGCAGAAACCTTTATGTTCAACTTCATCTTAATCAGAGAGTATGGATACATCAAAAAATCTCGAAAAATACGTATCGTAGAGAAAAACTAGTATAAAGTTGGAAGGTTCCTGGAACGATGACCTTGAACGTGACTCTATGACCTTCAAGTTTATTTTAAGGTCAAAGCGGCTTTCTTAAATGGAAACGTCCATCTTCCTGTATAATGTATAACTAAGTTGAGAGGTTTGAAAAGGTTGACCTAATTATGACCTTGAACGTGAGGTCATTCAAGGTCATTTGAGGATAAAGACAATTTTTTAAACAGGAACAACTATTTTTGACTCCGAAAATGTAAAGAGCAGAAACCTTTATGTTCAACTTCATCTTAATCAGAGAGTATGGATACATCAAAATATCTCGAAAAATACGTATCGTAGAGAAAACCTAGTATAAAGTTGGAAGGTCCAGGAACGATGACCTTGCACGTGACTCTATGACCTTAAGTTTATTTTAAGGTCAAAGCGACTTTCTTAAATGGAAACGTCCATCTTCCTGTATAATGTATAACTAAGTTGTGAGGTTTGAAAAGGATGACCTAATTATGACCTTGAACGTGAGGTCATTCAAGGTCATTTGAAGATCAATACGATTTTTTAAACAGGAACAATCTATTTTTGACTCCGAAAATGTAAAGAGCAGAAACCTTTATGTTAACTTCATCTTAATCAGAGAGTATGGATACATCAAAATATCTCGAAAATACGTATCGTAGAGAAAACTAGTATAAAGTTGGAAGGTCCCTGGAACGATGACCTTGAACGTGACTCTATGACCTTCAAGTTGATTTTAAGGTCAAAACGGCTTTCTTAAATGGAAACGTCCATCTTCCTGTATAATGTATAACTAAGTTGAGAGGTTTGAAAAGGATGACCTAATTATTACCTTGAACGTGAGGTCATTCAAGGTCATTTGAAGATCAAGACAATTTTTTAAACGGGAATAACTATTTTTGACTCCGAAAATGTAAAGAGCAGAAACCTTTATGTTCAACTTCAACTTAATCAGAGAGTATGGATACATCAAAATATCTCGAAAAATACGTATCGTAGAGAAAACCTAGTATAAAGTTGGAAGGTTCCTGGAACGATGACCTTGAACGTGACTCGATGACCTTCAAGTTTATTTTAAGGTCAAAGCGGCTTTCTTAAATGGAATCGTCCATCTTCCTGTATAATGTATAACTAAGTTGTGAGGTTTGAAAAAGATGACCTAATTATGACCTTGAACGTGAGGTCATTCAAGGTCATTTGAAGATCAAGACAATTTTTAATCAGGAACAACTATTTTTGACTCCGAAAATGTAAAGAGCAGAAACCTTTATGTTCAACATCATCTTAATCAGAGAGTATGGATACATCAAAATATCTCGAAAAATACGTATCGTAGAGAAAACCTAGTATAAAGTTGGAAGGTTCCTGGAACGATGTCCTTGAACGTGACTCTACGACCTTCAAGTTTATTTTAAGGTCAAAGCGGCTTTCTTAAATGGAAACGTCCATCTTCCTGTATAATGTATAACTAAGTTGTGAGGTTTGAAAAGAATGACCTAATTATGACCTTGAACGTGAGGTCATTCAAGGTCATTTGAAGATCAAGACAATTTTTAAACAGGAACAACTATTTTTGACTGCGAAAATGTAAAGAGCAGAAACCATTATGTTAACTTCATCTTAATCAGAGAGTATGGATACATCAAAATATCTCGAAAAATACGTATCGTAGAGAAAAACTAGTATAAAGTTGAAGGTTCCTGGAACGATGACCTTGAACGTGACTCTATGACCTTCAAGTTTATTTTAAGGTCAAAGCGGCTTTCTTAAATGGAAACGTCCATCTTCCTGTATAATGTATAACTAAGTTGTGAGGTTTGAAAAAGACGACCTAATTATGACCTTGACGTGAAGTCATTCAAGGTCATTTGAATATCAAGACAATTTTTTAAACGGGAACAACTATTTTTGACTTGGAAAATGTAAAGAGCAGAAATATTTATGTTCAACGATATCCAAGACCTTAACTATGAGCAATGACATTTGAAGGTCAAATGAATATTTAACCGGAAATATCTATTTTTAATTCATCAAAGGTAAATTGCGGACAATTTTAAGTTCAAGCATACCATTGCCAATGATCTTGACTTTCGAAAATAAATTTAAAATAAACTTAACTTTTTTGGATATAGAGAAGCGAAACATTTCAAAGTCAAGGTCATTATTACATACTTGACCGTGACCTTGACTTTGATATTCAAGGTCACTCGATGGTCAAATGAATATTTGAATAGGATACTCGTATTCTTGCTGTCAGAACCGTAATTTCATTTCATGGTCAAGGTGACGTTCAAGGTCCCCTTTACATCTATTTTTAATTCCTCAAACAGTTCTAGGGTCTAGTATATCCTTTTGTCAACGATCCCTACCTTGACCTTAAAGATCATTTGCAGGTCGTATAAACTTTAAATAATCTCTCCACTTTTCTTCAGGGATATAGAGACGGGAAATATTTCAAGGTCAAGGTCACAATCACGTATTTGGCCGTCACCTTGACTCCTATCTTCAAGGTCACTCGAAGATCTAATGAATTTCTGAGGGGAATACTCCTATTCTTGCTCTCAGAGCCCTAATTTCATGTCCCGCTTAATCATCGTAAAACCTTTAAGGTCATGGTCAAGGTAAAAGAAATTGGTAAAATATGTGCCAGGTAATCTTACTTGCTATACGTGTCAAACTTGGACGAGTCGTCAACTTTGCAGCTGGTAGGTTTCGTAAAATATACATATTTCTTTGAAGGTGGAATATCCTTGTGATAAACGAAGTGAAAAGACACCCTAGACATCCCGGGAAGACAATAACAAAACTGGTTGAGCTGACTTATCACGAAGGCAGCGTCGATTTCTGGGACAAACGCTGCTATGCTTAACATTCCGTCCCAATACCTGAAACATTTTAATTTTTAACTCCTACAGAAATAAACGGGAGCCTCGTCAAAAAACGACGGTTAAATCCTACGCCATTTCATTATTTTTTCATCGCCGTATTTGAACTCGGCGCCCCAAATTTCATTCCTACAACATATCCTATGTTTTGAAGTTTCTTATTGAACAAGGAGTATATAATTTACCTGAGCAATTCTGGAACATATCTCATAAAAGTAGAAGTCATATGAGTAGCATACGTTATCCCTGGTACATTGGAATCAATCTTTGGAGTGATTATATTGTACAAGATTCTGTAGGGACTGTTAGGTCCCATTTCCGGACCGTACTCTTCATCTTCTGTGCTAAAATGTGACACAACAGTTTAAACAGTGACTTTTCCACGTAGAGGCAAATCATCATAAGGATTGCAGGCATTTATTCTTACCTGTATTTCAATTCCAGTGGCAGGCCGTAGTGGAAATTGCAGTAACTGATATTTGAAGGAACTGGATGTTCATACTGTACGAAGTATCCAGGTAGTTTGGATTGGTTAGCTTCCTCGTTTACGGTGGTTATGCGGAGCGAGAGAATGTGAGATTTGTAACTTGGTTGAATGCGGGAATTTGTCAGGATGAACAGGCAGACGACTAGACTGGAGAAGATGCAGGCTAGGAGAAAAGTGCGGTTGGTCAGTCTTAACCCGATGGACATGGCATAGTCATTTGGAGGTGAAAGTGACCGGCTTTCTGGAAGATAAATTTGAATATATCAGCAGAGTTATTTGAAAAAATGTCTTCTACAGATTGATGGTTTCCCACACAGCAGATTAGTTTTCAGTATGACCTATGGTCCAAAAATCAATAGATTTTTGTCTAAATGGTTTTATAGTTTACAAATTTAAGTGCTTTATATCGACCACAATCACCACAATCTTACTAATTTTTATAATCTAATCTAAAACGTTTTTAAATTGGGTAATTAACAAATAAATGGCATTAAGTTTTTCTAAGTTAAGCCAAAATTTGAGTCAGTAAGTAAGTTTCATTAAATTAAATATTTAAAACACACATGACAACAGCGCGTCGGTCATTCATCACGCTTATCGAAGCGGCAATCGATCGCAAACGGTAACAGTGGTTAGTTATCGTTTTGCATAGATAAATTACTTCATCGTTTTGTCGAGTCAGAGCATTGGGCGTGTTGTTTTGTTTTTGTTCGCGTACGTCGTCGTGTTTATTTACAATCTTCTCGTCAGAATTCAAATCTTGCAGCTCAAATTTAACGTTTTAAAATAAATGTTTGGGCGGGTATTCTTGACGAACAGGTAATTGGCCCTTTCGAGTTACCCCCAAAGTTATCAGGAGAAGGATACCTTAGCTTTTTAGCCAATAACCTACCAGAACTTTTGGAACAGACCTTAGACAACATGCCATTACAACCGAGACAGAATTTGTAGTTTCTTCATGACGGGGCACCACCACACATTTTTAGAGGCGTCATTCAGTATTCGAATGAACATTATCCAAATCGCTGGATCGGTCGAAATGCTCGTGATCCTCGAAAATGGCCAGCAAGATCTCCCGACGTCAATCCGATGGATTTCTGGTATTGGGGAGAACTTAAGGGATGGTTTTTGGGGCTGGTCCAATAACAACTGAAGCACAACTTCGCGAAAAAAAAATGTTAACGCGGCTGAAATAATAAATGGACAACTTCGAGGACCTAGAATAAGAAGAACCTGGGTTCATCGTAATGAAGCTTGCGTGGAAAGTGGAAGACGACATTTTGAACCCCTCCTTTGAATACAAAAAAAGTGCAGTGTGGGTTTTAAAAATAAAAACAATGTATGTATCAAAATTGTGCAAGCAAGAAACGTAATTTCAGGAAATAAAGTCGATGTGATTTAGATGCCTTTTAAATTTCGTATATAAAAAGTATGTCTGTTGACATTTTATCGTCCTTATATTTCATCTGATAAGACTAAGTACTAGATAGTGTTATTTTCTACCGGATAACTACGAAAACGACACGACAAGGCAAGCGCCCCATTCTTTGCAAGTCACCGTAAAGGCTGTCTTTCATCATTTTTCCTACCACAAAAAACAAGAAGGTTAAAAAGTTGGGATAAGGAACATGTATCGACTAAGCTTGACCTTCTAGGTAAGACTTGATGCAAAAATTCAATAATAATTTTCATACTTACATTATGTTCCTTGGTTTTCGTTTATTTCACATCGCCCCACCAATTCATAGTCGAGAGGTGGAGACAGAATTTCCACTATAGCTACCGGTGTACCGGTGGGAATGAGGACTTGGGAACTGTCAAATGCCGGATGGCGCAACGAAAATCAATACCAGTGCAAAGTATCACACAACTGGTGTGTAATATAACGAGACTTATTTGGAATATGCAGACTAGACAAACTGATAACAGTTTTATTACATTTTACGTAGTAGTGCGAAACATTAAGCTATATGTAAATAAAATGTAGATATAATTAGGTTATTCTTAGTAACCTGAGCAGTGATGTAAAATACAGGGTGATTCTTCTAACTTTATTATTGTTTCGACTCGTGGACTGTCGGATTATTAAGTTTTCTTTAGTCGAATATAGTTTATCGAAATCCTGAAATCGCGTTTCGTGCTTAATTCCGATAGAAATGCTGCAATAGGTTTGCGATTTGAGAAACAAAGCGTTATTTCGTAAAATTAATTTATTTTTGAAAATAAAAGCACATTTTCAACAATCCTTACTTAGCTGTTCATAAAATAAAACGATAACGAAGATCGGTGGCTGACTTTCTCTCTGACCGCAAGATATCCATTGCAATTGACGGATTTTCCTCTTCATCCCACATCCCACAACGCAACGCGGGTGTTCCCAGGGATCGATCTTGGCTCAGGTACTGTTCCTCTTAGACAGGGTGTTTCGGTTTATTGTTGCATAACTTTAAGATTCGATAGCACTTTTAAAATTAATGCGTAAAGTCTATATAAACATAGGTCGAAAAATGCGTGGCTTCCGAAATACAGGGTGTTTAAATTTACTTTCTAAAATAGTTTTTTTTTAAATATTTCGAACAATATTTGATGTATAACAGTGGAAATTGGTATACAAGGGTTTTTTGGTACGACAAAACGAACCATGGGCATAGTTTTACTATAGCCGCTAGAGGGCGCTGTCTACTGTACCTGTAGTGTATTAAAATGACCGAAATTTTTTTCTTAGTGCAATTTTTTGCTTTTTGAATAAAAAAAATGATTCTTCGCACTTTTCAACAAAAAAAAGCTCTCCTGTGAGTTTTCGTTATAGTTAGCCGTTTTTGAGATATTTCGATTTTTAAGGTTCTATGCATTTTTAATTATTTATGGGAAAATAATATTTTTTTTACATTTTCGATTTGGGCATTACAAGTAATTAAGTTCATCGTTTACATTGTGTTTTTAAACATAGCAATAATTCCTAATTCTAAATAAACACAAAAAAACAGAATATTAATTTGTTTAATTTTCCAATATTATTTTTAACAAATTACATTAATTATTTACAACTAAAATGCTATTGGATAGTTAGGACAAACATACAAAATCTAAAGTAGTTGCTCGAAATGTAAACCCAACTGTTCAATACACAATTCACATCTACGAATGATCGAACGTGGTATAGCATTATTCAAATAAGGCCTTATTTCATCACATGCATTTCTGATTCTGTCTATTAGCATATTTCTTGTGGTTACGGGAGTCTGGTGCACTTTTTCTTTTATAATTCCCCACACAAAGAAATCTAATGGATTTAAGTCAGGGGATCGTGGAGGCCAGGAGACTCGTCCTCCACGGCCGATCCATCTTTCTGGATAATTTTCGTCCAGCCAGTTTCTAACTATTCTCGAATAATGAGCTGGACAACCATCACGCTGGAACCAGGCCAATCTTCTTAAATCTAACATAACATCATCCCACATATTTGCATGTTCGGCCTTTAAAAATTCCAAGAAGGTCGCAGCATTTAGTCTGTATCAAAGACAAACGACAGCGATTTGTGAATATTTTTAATGAAGTTTCAGAAATGTTAGACAGAGACAAACAGAATTTTATTGTCTAAACAAACTGTATTGCTAATTTGCATGTATCCGACAAAGATAGACGCTGTTTTCATGTTGCATGATCGATCATATTTGAAAGATGAATAGTTAGGTTATGTTAAAGCAGGTTAGGTTGTTTTCGAATAATACTTTGGTCTTTGGTGTTCCTGTCTTAAGGTATTCTACTCTACTGTTTTTTTTTCAAAACAAAAACCCTCCACTAAAATTATTATTAAGGTATCACACAAAACCATGAAATAAAATCAAAATAAAAATAATCAGTGAAATAACTTAACTTCGCAAAATCATAATATAAATTTGTTGTCATTACGTTCCTGACATCGTGATTTTATCATCGACGTACGTACAATTTATGGTATGACGTAAAGGTCAACTTCCGTGATTCTGACTATACTTCAAAATCAGCAAATGTAAGGCAAAAGACGTTGTTTCAAAAATAACGTACCCAGATTTTTTTCAGGCACAAGGTATTTTTTATTTGGAAAAACGAATTCACCATCGTAAACGTTGATCTTTAAGCTATTTTTCTTCATAGTCTTAACTTAATTTGCAGATTCAGAGGAGAGACAAAGAACTAGCAGAAATGATTTTTGATATAGAAGCGTTCATCAAAAAGGGGGGGAACAAAACTCGATCGATGGCGATACCAGGCATTTTTGTGTTTTCAGAAAAGATATCACAAAATCCATTAGAACCATATGACAGTAAGTATCATGTAGAAATAGTCTCTAACTTGAAGGATAACTCCAAAAGTCGTTTCAAGGATTTCAACGAAATTGCTACAGTGACGCAATTTGTTGTTTCACCCTTCATGGAAGATGATATAACAGTTTCGCAACTTCTGTTCCGCAGAATTTTAGCGAGGACATATATGAAGTTTATTAAAAACAAATACCGTAATCGATGTATTTTTTATCTGGACATGTTTTTGTTCAAAATAGTGCGTTGCTTTTTTATTTTTAGTTACCTTTATTAAATCACGCTTCTTGTTGGTATCGGAGCCGATACACACGACGCTGTTGCCGAATTTCGCCTGGCATCACGCGCAACAAAAATACATCGTTGCGAAGCTTATTTTCGAGACAACCCTCGTACTGATTATACTACAGCGGACCCCCGATAATCCGGCGCCCCCTGTAATCCGACATGTCTTTGAATATGTATTACATACATACGTATTTGACAATCTTCGCTAATGTAGATCGCGCAGGTTTGAACAGGTTACAACTTGTACGCGCCACCGCTATCGTCTCGACGCGTAAGCATTGTTTTACTTAGTTTGAATTTGACTACTGGTGATAGCGGTACGGCCTAGCGTGCGTTCATTGTTTACTATTTATTCATTGTGTATTAAGTATAGTACCTAGTAATGTCAGAAGCGAAAGCACAAAACATTGACAATTAAAGAAGAATGTGTAATTTTAGACCGCTTAAATCGCAATGAAACTTTCAGTAGTTTAGCAAGTGAATACGGCGTAGGCCGATCTACAATTTACGACATTAAAAGAAACCACGAGAAGATCAAGAAGTTCGTGTCCACTACTGACTGCGGGCCAGGCAAGAGACAGACACTCAAGAAAGCTGAACATCCAGAAGTGGAAGAAGCTTTGTACATGTGGTTTCTTCAGGAAAGAAATAAACGTGCACCAATTTCAGGACCCATGTTGGCCATGAAAGCTAAGTCTTTTTATAAGGAAATAACAAAAAAAGATGATTTTGTGGCCAGCAAAGGATGGCTAGAACATTTTAAAAGTCGACATGGCATACGTTAAATGACTGTTACACGAGAGAAACTTTCTAACGATGCCACCTGCAAAGAGCCCTTTAAATTAAGATTTTTGCAAAAGGTGAACGATTTAAATCTTGACCAGTCATAGGTGTACAATGCAGACGAATCAGGGATTTTTTGGCGTGTGATGCCTAACAAAACTTTCGTTTCTTGTAACGAAAAATCCGTGCCTGGACGAAAAGTAAGTAAAGAGCGTGTAACCATACTACCATGTGCTAACGCTGCGGGCACACACGCGCTTAAGATGATGGTCATTGGGAAATGTAATAAACCACGGGCATTCAAAAACATTGATTTACCTGTACACTATTACGGACAAAAAAGTGCATGGATGACAAAAGACCTTTTCAAAAAGTGGTACCTGAAGTTAGAGAATGGTTAAAAGATCATAATTTTCATCAAAAAGCGTTGTTGCTTCTTGATAGCGCTCCCGGTCATCCGTCTGAAGAAGAACTAACAACTGAGGATAAATGCATCACTGCGATGTTTCTTCCGCCAAATTGTACTGCACTGATTCAACTAATGGACCAGAATATCGTTCAGTTTGTCAAGCAAGACTATAAGAAAAACCTACTTCTGAGAGCCGTATCAAAAGACCAACCAATAGAAAAAACTTCAAAAGAATTTAATATGAAAGACTTGGTTTTTGCTCTTTGTCAGTCGTGGAATGCGTTACCGTCATCAACTATTAAATCGTCTCGGAAAAAGTTATGGCCTGATATAGTCACCACTCCTAGCAACGTTCCACAAATCAGTGTTACTTCGGAAGTTATAGAACAAGTCGCTACAGAAACACAGATAAGTCCGGAAGATTTGGAAATCTGGTGCCGTGGAATGGATGAAGAGGAAAATGTTTTTCATGAAATGTCTGACGAAGAGATTATAAAAGAGGTTTCTAATTATACAACAATCAGGAAAATAACGACGACGTGATTGCAACTGCTCCACAAGTCACAGCACAAGATGCAATTAACGCATTTGAGCTAGGTTTACAATGGGCTGAAGAGAATGGTACATCCTACAACGAACTTTTAGTTTTAAGAAGACTGAGGGACAAAGCTCTGATCTCGAGTTATAACAACCTTAAACAAAAAAAAATTGATTAATATTTCCAGGCTTAATAATTTGATAAATTCATTAACGATTTTGATTAATAATTCTTGATTATTTTGGTACATATGTATGTGCATTTATGCTTAATTTTATAATAAAACGTAAGCTCTCTATTGTTATTTAATTTACTAAATTCGACATACATAAACTATGTATGATTTGTACTTGAAAGTACATACATATACATAACATATATGTATACATAATCTTACCATTGGATATGTAATTTGTGGGATTACAAGGTACTCTTTTGTAAAAAATTCCGGACTATAGGGGTCCGATAGTCCGACACTGCCCTGCATAATGTTTGTCGGATTACCGGCGGTCCACTGTATTTGATTGCCACAGGAAGGGAAGGGTATAAAAATCACCATTAAGCAGATATAAACGATTTAATTCCAATTTCAAAAGCAAATATAAAGCTATATAAAAGTATGCAACATCCTAAGTAATCTCATTTGTTCACGGTACAATAAAATTTTTCGACAAACGGAATTCAACACGTAAAATATAGAACAGTGGAAAATGATTCCAAATTTCGCCAAACTATCATCTAATATTGAGAGTAAATACATTTTGCTTAAACGTTATACTTGGTCTTCTTACATGCAATATGTAAACAAGTATATATTTTTAACATTTTATCAGTTTAGTTTTACACTTAACACGGAATAGTACGGCAGACTCACGAGAATTTCAGTTGGATATTAAAAATTCGTGACATTCTATTCAGATTCAGCAACGTTCAAAGTGTGTGCGGGAAACTGAAGAATTAAAAACTTTCGAATCTGACCCTTAGCTAAAACTTTGCTATCATATTTTGGGACACCCTATACGAGTTCATATAACTTTAAACTAAGTTTGTTGTCGAATTCTAAAGAGTTGACAACACATCTTGGGCCACCGTGTATAAAAACAACACTCAGTCATAATAAGAAATCTGTTAATATAGATTGTTACAGAAAAGGATCAGGGTTTTCAGCCCTCAAATTAACTCAGTTTTCAAGTTGATTGCTTCTATAAAATGTTTGCATTTAGATACTTCGAATCATACTTACTTGAAAAGCAACATTTCCATCCTTTTTTGAATATACAAGTATAGCTCAGTATTTTACGAGCAAAATATTTATGGTGAGTTTGTAGTGTGGGTTCGGGCAATATCTACTTACTTTTTCAGCTTTTCGATACTTTTATATCATTGGTAACAGTTTAAAATACATAGATGCAATCAAGTTCAAATTTAAGCTATTTTCAAGACCCCCCTAACATAACCTGATCATTTAATTGATGCAAAATGTTTGATAGACAGGTCTTCACAACCTAGTATTTGAAAGACGCATTTTAAATCATTCCATTCAAAGAAATTTATGAGTTGTAGATTATATCATTTTATGGTGTGTATACAGATGTAGGAATAAGAATATTTTCAGGAGCATATCGTTGGCTATAATTTTCGTAATAACTTTTTTAGATATCACAAAAATTGAGGGTAAATTTGAATGGAATGACATGTTGATTATAAATGTAGAATGAAGGACCGTTTAATTTTGAATTCAATCTGGCTAGTAGGTGCGTGCTCACTTTACTATAGCAATCACATAAGAGTAATATATTATTACTAATAGATCCTTAAGGTGAATTTTAATAATATTCAGGATAGCTTTCACAAGCGATCTCATATTTAAAATATAACACCTTCGATATATATATTATATATCCAGAGTGTCCCATTTTAACCTTATCTAAATATTCCGAAAACTTGACTTGACCCTGACCATGACCTAAGGTCAATTTTCAAACAGAACCTTGTTTTGTACATAGAAATTGAAAAGAGAAAATTTTACGCAAGTTGATGATGACCTTGACCAGGATCTTCAAGGTCATGTAAACTCAAGGGAACAATTTTAAATAGAGCCCCCTTTTTACATCGGAATTGAAGAGATGAAGAAATTTCACGGACACTGATGGTGACCTTGTGCGCGAACTTCAACGTCAACTAAACATTTACAAGTAGAACCCTCGTTTTTACATCAAACTTGAAAAGAGGAGCAAATTTGACGCAAGTTGAAGGTGACTTAAAAATGACCTTGATCATGACCTGTAGGATCATCTAAGAACAATTGAACATTTTAAAATAGAACCCTCCGTTTAACATATTGAAATGAGGAAATTTTACGCAAGTTGGTGACCTTGACCATTATCTTTAAAGTCATCTAAAGACAAGTGAATATTTTCAAATAGATTCCTTTTTCAACATCTGACTTGAAGAGGAAATTTGACGCACGTTGATGGTGACCTTGACCACCACCTTTAGGCATCTAAGATCAAGTGAACATTTTCAAATAGAACCCCCTTTTTACATCGCACTTGAAAAGAGGAGGTTGTTTGACGCAAGTTGAAGGTGACCTTGGCCGTGACATTTATGGACGTCAAAGGTCAAGCGAACATTTTCAAATAAAACCCTTTTTTTACATCGGAATTGAAGACGACATTCTACGCACGATAAGCATGACCTTGACCTACAAGATCAAGTGAATATTTACAAACAGAACTCCCTTTTTACATTGGAAATGAAACGAGGATCAAATTTTACGTTCTAACATGACCATTGCCGTGACCTTGACCGTTTTCAATGTCTCGATTTGACCTTGAAGGCCATGGTCAAGATATGCGGATGAAAGATTTCCTCATTTTTTCAATTCCATTTAAAAATATTTATTCGACCTTGAAGGTCGTGGTCAAGGTCATTGTCAGGGTGAAATTCAGGTACGAAAGATTTCCTCCTTTTCAATTCCGATGGGGTGTACATTTAAAAATATTTACTTGACCTTGAAGGTCGTGGTCAAGGTGATATACGGACGAAAGGTTTCCTCAATTCCGATGTAAAAAAGGAGTCCATTTAAAAATATTTACTTGACCTTGAAGGTCAATGTCAAGGTCATTGTCGAGGTGAAATACGGACGAAAGATTTCTTCATTTTTTGAAATCTGATGTGAAAAGGAGGGTACATTTAAAAATACATACTTGACCTTGGAGGTCGTGGCCAAGGTCATTGTCAAGGTGATATACGGACGAAAGGTTTCCTCAATTCCAATGTAAAAAAGGAGTCCATTTAAAAATATTTACTTGACCTTGAAGGTCATGTCAAGGTCATATACGGACGAGATTTTCTACTTTTTTAGTTCTGATGTGAAAAAGGACGGGTTTATTTCGACATCCTACAACTTTTGTTTGGAACTTTTTTCGAGAAGGCGCATTTTTCGAAACATCTAGGTGGGGAGATCAAAATGGGACACCCTGTCAAATTAAACGTACTTTATGCTATATAAACATATGTATATGATAAAAAACCTCCTCTAAACAAAAAACGAAACACTAAGGGCTCGTTTATACAAGCGATTTATGTCGCGCGATGCAAATCCCGTGCATAAAAGAGCTCCGAAGAATATATAAATAAAACTAAATAAAACAGATAAAACTATATTTAGTACACTCATAACATTTCTTGTAATACTTGACCGATTGCATTGATGAAATTCTCGTATTACAAAAAATGCCCGTAACAACGAAATACACGAAATACAACAGCGTATGTACAAAATTCGTATCAACCTTACAATTTCAAATAGGATGGAATAAAAAGCAAAAATGGGACAATAAATTAATTTATTGTAGAATGAGTGTTATGAAGTCACTTAAAAATTTACGAAAATAAACCTACTGTTCTTTCTTCTCTTCCGTCTTCTTGCCAATCGGAATCGCAGCTTTCACTCTGGAACAAAAAACAAAAACATGTTGAGAAAAAAGTTAGCTACGAACAACCCCCCCTCGCTTAGTTTTGCCACCAAATTTTTTTCAAACACAATGAGGCTCTGAGACGCCAAAAAACGAACTTGGAATGAGTGATGGTTTTTCGCGATGCCCTAAAATATCCAAAAAACATAAAACTCCATTTTCGAAATTTTTCGCGATTGCAATACTTCGCCAGTAGACGTGGGAAGTAAAAAAGAGCAAAAAGGAAGTAGTGAGTCAGTTCAAGAAGAAAATAGATATTGTCAACCAAGATAAAACAACCCTCAATTAATCTACCAAAAATATAAGGTAGAAGAAATGATACTTCAATACTTACTTTGATGTGATCTCAGCTAATTTTGTTCTGACGAGGTCCAAATTGGCATCGATTTGTGTCTTGTTTGTCTCGTACACTTTTGGAAGAGAAAATAGGGCTACCCATGCTGGAAAAATTGAACAAGCATTAATATTCAATCGACTAGAGCATTTGAAAAATAGGTTTTTGATGTTTCAAGACCTATCCGAGGCAACGTTTTCTACATATTTTACAAGTATTTTGAAATATCCAGTTGCTAGATAAGGAAATAAGTAGAATAAAAATTTGAATACTCATTATTTACACAGGTGTATCGTAATAGATAAGCGATATAAAATATCCTTTATTGTCGTAAGAATAGAATCATTCTTAGTCAACTTTAAAAACTAACATAATTACATATCTGGATCTTAATTAAATAGATTGAACTCACATTGTATAATAACTCATAAATAGTTTTCTTTGATAAGTTTTCATTTAGGAGCCATCCGCTCTTGCATATTTGGGACGCCCTGTATATAATCGAAACGCTTCATAGGACTGCCAATGAGAATTTTTGTTCTGGACGCTCTGCAGATCTTATTCTCAAACGTTGAGCAATATTCACCAAGTTTGTACCCCCTCCTTTATAACTTAACTATGAAGATAATGGCGATTCCTTGATCGAGAAATGTGAAATTCTGTAAAGAAAGTTTCTTACCGATAATGATAAGTGACATGCCGTTGAACCAGGCCCCGACGTAGGTAAGCGTCCATAGCAGAACTCCGAATTTGATCGAATCCACCAGATCTTCGACTAAGAATAACCTGCGGAGCTCTATCACAGCTGCATTGAAGTGAGCCACTGCTACCTCAATGATTTCGCGTACCTGCGAACAAAAAAAAATGATGAAGGTAACCGTGTGTTGGCTATATAATAAAGTTTAAAAAAACTAAAAAAACACGCTTGTATATCTTAGATGACTTTAAAGGTCGTGGTCAAGGTCACCATCAACGTGCGTCAAATGTTCTCTTCATGTCAGGTGTTGAAAAAGGGTTCTACTTGAAAATGTTCTCTTGTCCTTCGATGACTTTAAAGCTCATGGCCAAGGTCACCTTCAACTTGCGTCAAACTACCTCCTCTTTTCAAGTCCGACGTAAAAAGGGGGTTCTATTTGAAAATGTTCACTTGATCTTAGATGACTAAAGGTCGTGGTCAAGGTCACCATCAACGTGCGTCAAACTTCCTATTCAAGTCAGATGTTGAAAAAGGGTTCTACTTGAAAATGTTCACTTGTCCTTAGATGACCTCAAAGCTATGGCCAAGGTCACCTTCAACTTGCGTGTCAAACTACCTCCTCTTTTCAAGTCCGATGTAAAAAGGGGGTTCTATTTGAAAATGTTCACTTGATCTTAGATGACTTTAAAAGTCGTGGTCAAGGTCACCATCAACGTGCGTCAAATTTCTTCTTCAAGTCAGATGTTGAAAAAGAGTTCTACTTGAAAATGTTCACTTGTCTTTAAATGACCTTAAAGCTATGGCCAAGATCACCTTCAACTTGCGTCAAACTACCTTCTCTTTTCAAGTCCGATATAAAAAGGGGGTTATATTTGAAAATGTTCACTTGATCTTAGATGACTTTAAAGGTCGTGGTCAAGGTCACCATCAACGTGCGTCAAACTTCCCCTTCAAGTCAGATGTTGAAAAAGGGTTCTACTTGAAGATGTTCACTTGTCCTTAGATGACCTTAAAGCTATGGCCAAGGTCACTTTCAACTTGCGTCAAACTACCTCCTGTTTTCAAGTCCGATGTAAAAAGGGGGTTCTATTTGAAAATGTTTACTTGATCTTAAATGACTTTAAAGGTCGTGGTCAAGGTCACCATCAACGTACGTCAAATTTCCTATTCAAGTCAGATGTTGAAAAAGGGTTCTACTTGAAAATGTTCACTTGTCCTTACTGGACCTTAAAGCTATGGCCAAGGTCACCTCCAACTTGCGTCAAACTACCTCATCTTCAAGTCCGACGTAAAAAGGTGGTTCTATTTGAAAATGTTCACTTGATCTTAGATGACTTTGAAGGTCGTGGTTAAGGTCACCATCAACGTGCGTCAAATTTCCTCTTCAAGTTAGATGTTGAAAAGGGGTTCTACTTGAAAATGTTAACTTGTCCTTAGATAACCTTAAAGCTATGGCCAAGGTCACCTTCAACTTGTGTCAAACTACCTCCTCTTTTCAAGTCCGATGTAAAAAGGGGGTTCTATTTGAAAATGTTCACTTGATCTGAGATGAGTTTAAAGGTCGTGGTCAAGATCACCATCAACGTGCGTCAAATTTCCTCTCCAAGACAGATGTTGAAGAAGGGTTCTACTTGAAAATGTTTACTTGTCCTTAGATAACCTTAAAGCTATGGCCAAGGTCACCTTCAACTTGGGTCAAACTACCTCCTCTTTTCAAGTCCGATGTAAAAAGGGGGTTCTATTTGAAAATGTTCACATGATCTTAGATGACTTTAAAGGTCGTGGTCAAAGTCACCATCAACGTGCGTCAAACTTCCTCTTCAAGTCAGATGTTGAAAAAGGGTTCTACTTGAAAATGTTCACTTGTCCTTAGATGACCTTAAAGCTATGGCCAAGGTCACCTTCAACTTGCGTCAAACTACCTCCTCGTTTCAAGTCCGATGTAAAAAGGGGGTTCTATTTGAAAATGTTCACTTGATCTTAGATGACTTTAAAGGCCGTGGTCAAAGTCACCATCAACGTGCGTCAAACTTCCTCTTCAAGTCAGATGTTGAAAAAGGGTTCTATTTGAAAATGTTCACTTGTCCTTAGATGACCTTAAAGCTATGGCCAAGGTCACCATCAACGTGCGTCAAACTTCCTCTTCAAGTCAGATGTTGAAAAAGGGTTCTACTTGAAAATGTTCACTTGTCCTTAGATGACCTTAAAGCTCATGGTCAAGGTCACCAACTTGCGTAAAATTTCCTCATTTCAATATGTTAAAAGGAGGCTTCTATTTTAAAATGTTCACTTGTTCTTAGATGATCCTAAAGGTCATGATCAAGGTCATTTTTAAGTCACCTTCAACTTGCGTCAAATTTCCTCCTCTTTTCAAGTTTGATGTAAAAAAGAGGGTTCTACTTGTACATGTTTAGTTAACCTTAAAGATCGTGGACAAGGTCACCATCAGTGTCCGTGAAATTTCTTCATCTCTCCAGTCTTCCACCACCATTTGGAGTGCTGTTGCTCTAGAATATTTTTTCTAAATTCGGCTCGATTTTTTGCCAATTTTTTTTCAATGAATTCAATTATTTGCTCGTATATTATCCCTTCGAACAGCTTCTGGACATTTGATAAGACATTAATCGATCGCATATTTGCATATGGCTCAGAATGCTAAACTTTTGGCACAGGAGTAATGGTGGAACATTTTAATTTTGATGGAAGTTCACCATGTACTAAACAATGATTCACCAATAATAATAATTTCACTCCAATTATATTGAAACAATCATTTACAATCTTTTTTGAGAGATTCTCACTTGAATTCCAATTCTGCGATAACTTTTCTCAGATTGTTGATGTTTATTGTCCTAAATTGATTCACTGATGAATTAAGATATACTGTAATGAACATAAATCGGGATCAGCGCCATCAATCGTCTTCACTATATGATTTATACTGTCTATAAAATAAGTCTTTAATCTTTCTGCTATAATTATTTTTTCCGTCACTACTCTATCTGCGAAACACATTTTAAATAATTCACTCTGCCTAGTTCGAGAAACAATATTCTTCAATGTTTTCCACATCATTTTAGAATTATTTTTATCCTATCTTATTATCATAGTATTTTTTCTGTTCCCTCCTGATTTTCAATGTACTTAAAACCTCTCAAATACGTACCTTATCCTGCGGCAGCGACACGTCCAAGTCGAGGTACTCCTTGAACGGATGTCCATCTCCGGTTTTCTGCACCGCCTGCACGACGTTCTTGTAGATGCGGAACGCGATCGTGCCCGTCAGACCGATCAGCGACAGGTACGCCACGACGCTGATCAGCGAGAAGTAGGTAAGGGAAAGGAGGACGGCTAGCACGCCGCCGAACACAGGGCCGGACTTTTTCGGGTCGCGCCAGTAAATCAGGCTCTCCACTGAAAAAAAAAACAAAGATAACGGGTGATTTTTTAAGAGGTATAGGATTTGAATTAAAAAAAAAACACAAAAAATTTGAAAAAGCGATTAAATCTTTATTTGAGTCGATAGAACGGTCGATGTAATTTAATGTTTAAAGATTATTTCATGTAAATGTTGGCCGCGGCTCCGCTTTAGATGGCCCATGCGCAAGGTCCAATTTTGGCACACTCTCTCCAACATATCGGCCGGTATCTCACGAATAAATGCTTCAATATTGGCTTCCAGCGCGTCAATCGTTGCTGGTTTATCCCTGTAGACATTCGCCTTAACATGGCCCCACAGGAAATAGTCCAACGACGTTAAATCACACGATCTAAGCGGCCAATTGACGGGCCCCAAACGTGAGATAAACTGTTCACCGAACTCGCCTCTCAATAGGGCCATTGTTTCGTGTGCGGCGTGGCATGTGGCACCGTCTTGTTGAAACCACATGTCAGCCAAGTCCAGCTCTTCCATTTTGGGCAAAAAAAAGTTTGTTATCATCGCACGGTAGCGCTCGCCATTCACAGTTACGTTCCGGCCATTGTCGTCTTTGAAGAAGTACGGCCCGATGATGCCTCCGGCCCATAATCCACACCAAACAGTGTTTTTTTCGGGATGCATTGGTAGCTCTTGCAATGCTTCTGGCTGGTCTTCACTCCAGATACGGCAATTTTGCTTGTTAACGTACCTATTCAACCAGAAATGAGCTTCGTCGCTAAATACAATTTTTCGATAAAAATGTGGATCTTCCTCCAACTTTGCCAGCGCCCATTCACCAAATTGGAAACGTTGTGGGAGGTCGTGAGGCTTCAATTCTTACACCAGCTGTATCTTATAAGATTTTACACCCAAATCCTGTCGCAAAATTTTCCACGGTCATCACTAACACTGGCGGATACAGCCGCAATATTTTCTTCAGTCTTCACTCTACATCTGCGTGTTGGTGGTTTAATGTCCAATAATGTAAACTGGGTTCGAAATTTAGTCACAAGCTTCCGAATAGCTCCCTCAGTAGGCCGACCAAATTGCCCATAAATTGGAAGCAGTGCTCGATGCACTTTCTTAACCGAGCATGAATTTTGATAGTAAAATTCAATAATTTGCAAGCGTTGTTCGTTCGTGAGTCGATTCATGGTTAAATTATAGACCAAACTGAACAAGTTTGACAATGGCACAAGACGCGATTCACGCGTCATCTGTCAAAAACAGTGTTGCCAAAAAGATACTAGCAAAAAAATCACCCATTATTACCCTTCAACAAAGCCTCGCTTTATCAACAAAGGGTCCCGTCATAATGCCTATCAGATTGATCAACAAGTTGCCAATTGTTATCAGAGCTGTCACCAATTTCAATGCTTTCCAACGCCACGTTAAAAGTCTATTTTTATAGAAAACTCTTTTTACATCGCTGACGAATTCTCAGCATCAGACTTGAATTGATTTATTGCATATAATTTATTTTTAATCTGTTTTCAATCTGTTCGTCATTTTTTGTTTATTTTTTTTATACTCCAACTACCACGAAGGCCTAAGGCCTAAACAACACAACACAACACAAAATACCTATTTATGAAAATATATCTCCAAACATTGTTATATTTCTATTATTATAACACGTCTGGGATATCTATTGCTTTTAAAGTGATCTGCAGTGTTGCGAAACCGGAAAAAAACGGAATCGGTAAATAGTGTCGTCGAGTTCGATATAAGGTAAAATATACCGAAAAATCCGGTTCAAGTCCATGCATAGACAATCTGAAATTCGCAATATGAATTTATATTCTAAATTTTATGCATATCCGTTCATATTTTATTTGAAGCTTTTATTTGTCATAAAATTTTAGCAAAATGTAAAATAGTAAAGGCAACACCGCACCCTGCAGCCCAGTTGACAAGAACGACAAGCTGTCAAGATTAGGGTTGTTCAGATCCACGAAAAGTACCGTTACGTATCGATTCTTATCGTTTCAGGAAGTATCGATACGATACGAAATATTGGAATAAAATTGTCGATATGAAGCGGAAGGAAACAAAGAAGAAAAGTAATCTGAAGTTAGTTACTTTTTCTGGCACAGTACGGATCGCAAGATGACGATACTCGTGAAATGTATCGATACACCTTATGTATAAATATGGGGTATGGGAAGCAAAAGTATCGATACTTCTAAATATAGGATCGTATCGTATCGAACATCCCTACTGTCAAGATGTATAACCTAAGGTACCGACGGAGCTATTTTGCGGCGTCATGGAAATAATTTTAAATTTTCATTTGCATTTTTTCAAGTGTTGTGTAACGATTTTGGGAAAAATTGCACAATAGTCTTATAAAGCATAGTAGAGTATATTTCAACAGTTGGCGGAGCGTACTCCACTGGGACCAGGAGGGTGAAACGGGATATTAATGCACAATCAGGCAACCATGTCGCACCATTAAAAAATGGCCGCTGACAACCGCACAAGTCACCTTGTTGTCATTGAATAGCATGGAATTAAACCTTCCTCAGTGTATATGTTTTGTGACTGGGTCCAATGGTTGACGGATCCCATACATGTGTCACTCGGGGAGTTTTGAAATGCAATAATCAGCTGTTATTCAAATAGTGTCTAATTATATAACCTAAAATATGTACTCGTGAAAAAAGAAAAATATGACAAATTTCTAGTTTTTTTTGCAGGTTTTAGGTTTGCTGGCAGCTCTATATACATACAGGGTGGCCCATAAGTCCTTTGAGCTGGAAAAAAAGAAATAAAACCAAACTAGTTACATTATGAAGAATTATTATATTTTGTTATCATCTTTATTGAATGGGAATTATGTTTTAAAAATCACATCGTCTAAATGCAATCCATTACGATCACGGCACTCATATAAACGACGTCTAAAATGGTCGATGACTGCGCGGCAAGTCAACACTGTAATGCTTGCCATATCTCTTCGGATATTTTCTTTCAGGACATCAACTGATCGCGGAGTGGTGTCGTACACTTTACTCTTGAGGTAGCCCCATAAAAAGAAGTCCATTGGGGTCAAATCTGGACTACGTGGTGGCCAGGAAATGTCTCCTCTTCGAGAAATTACTTTGCTGGGAAAAAGTTGACAGACGACGGGCATAGAAGTGTTGGAGGTGTGGACAGTTGCTCCGTCCTGTTGAAACCAGGTCTGCGTATTATAGCCTGGAAAATTCTGCAACGCTGGTGTCAAAAACTCTTCTATCATTGCTAGATACCGCTCCGAAGTAACAGTTAATGCGCGACCTCTGTCGTCCTCAAAAAAATAAGGGCCTACGATGCCATGCGCTGACATAGCAGCCCAAACTGTAACTTTAGGGCTGTGTAAGGGCTTCTGATGCTTACGCCTTGGATTTTCGGGGCTCCAATAACGGCAATTTTGTTTATTTACATGCCCGTTGAAATGGAAGTGAGCCTCGTCCGAGAACAACACATTATTGAGCGAAGAAAATCGATTCAACATTTCATTCGCAAAGTTTAGTCTCTGAATAGCGTCATTATCTTTTAATTCCTGCACTAACTGAATTTTGTAAGCGTGCAGACGTAAATCTTTCCTTAAAATCCGCTGTAAAGATGTTCTGGGTACGTTTAGTGCACTGGAACGCTTACGAGTAGACTGGGTAGGATTTTGACGAACAGACTGTGCCACAATGTTGATGTTTTCTTCAATACGAGTTGTCCTTGGTCGACCCCACCGCTGTTTATCTAACGTCGAACCAGTCTCTTCGAACTTAGCAACCCAGTTCTTAATCGTCTGAGCTGTTGGACACTTTGTAAAATTGTGTAAATTGTGGTATTCTCGATATTTACGCCGCGCAATGGTTGCCGAATCATTATTTTGATAAAACGCGCGCACACAAAAAGCACGATCCGCTCCAGTGAAACACTCCATGGCGACTGAATTCCCAGATACTGAAGATACTGCCCCCACCTCGCTCGCGCCGCTCACGCTCACCCGTTAAATTTTATTCAAATTTGAAATTTCAAAGGACTTATGGACCACCCTGTATATTTGGCTATTTCTTAATCGTTGTGAATATAGTGTGGATGTTTGTTCGAAATATATTCAACTTTATGGATGTATGGATATCAAAAAACCTGAATGGTTTTGTGGGAATATCAAACTAAGGTGCCATAATGGTTCTGATGAACGGCAAGTAAATTTATGAATGTTTGGAAACGAGCAATATCTATGAAATTTTTGGTAGAGTCTGTCATCAAGTTAGTTGTTTTCTTTAAATTTTGACTGTAATTTCTTAATATTCAATAAGCTGGTGATGTTTCAAGGACAAGCTATCATCTCATACGTTGACAATATTTTGTTTTCAACATTTCATAGCTATTGGTTGCTAAAATTTGTTGATTGGATGTTGAAGCTCATTCGTTGTATTTGACGGACTGATACCCTATAGGTGGACTGTTAATTTGACAACCTTGGCGAAATCCACCCTAAATGACATATAAAATGGAACACCCAGAATTATTTATTTAGTTTTGATAAAAACTTGTACACATATTTCCGAGCCGTACAGGATCTGAACAATATGAACATGACTTAATAATCAGTGATTTTTCTGTCTTGCTTCCGTTTGTTTCATTGCATTATCATGCCTAGAGATCGTGGATGCGCTAATTTCACTCAACCAGAAGAGGAATAGTGGATTGCTTTCGATCAATGTAAAGCAAAATATACAGGGTGTCCCAGAAGTCGACGTCAAGCCGAAACCGGGTGATAGGCAAAGTCATAACAGCTATCAGAAAAATATTTAAAAAAATTTTATGTATGTGTTTTGATAATTATAGGTCTTTGAAAAAAATATAGAAATTTCACACCCTACGGCAGTCTGTCAACTCCTGTTACTACAAATATTAACTTTTTTTGGATTTTATTTTTACAATGTAATGATGAATAATGCATCTTCAAACTGGTGTCTCAACCTTACTGCCAACTTTTCTCGTTCAG